AAAAAACAAACACTAAGTGCACGAGGAGGCCAGGAATGACAGTGAGGGGATCTGGAATGAATGTGAAGAAGCTGCGTGAGGGAGTGTGGTGGTGGGTGTGGGTGTGGGTGTTACTGTTATCATTCACGTCCACATCCATACCCCACACCCATACCCACACACCTACAGCCACACCCTAAATATCAATTTTACATATGTTTGACAGATCATAAAATTTGAAATGGCACCATATTTTGAGTCGAAAACTTCATTGTGATTAGAGCATATCACAATATATGAGGCGATCGAGCTCTTTATAAGATATAGTCTTGTCAGAGCCTTCCTAGATAAAGATATTCTTTCTACAACATGTCTGCAATTGTACAACTTACATGAACTGACGCTTATACAATCTACTTACATACGAAAGTACAAATGGATGACAGAATTAGAAGACTTGACACGTGTTTTTGAACGTGAGAGAATGTTTGTAATAAGATTCTAGCAGATATTTATAATATAGTCAACGTTAATTTTCTCTAAGAAACGAACAGAAAAGATCATTTTTTATTTGAACAAACCCAAACAATAGTGAAAATTTAATATATTTTCTTGAAAAGTGATTATTTCTTGTTTGAATAAAAATATTATTTGAAGTGTGTGGGGTCTAAAACGATCAAAAAAGTGATCATGTGAGTTTCGAAGCAGTCACCTATTGAGTGATAGATTCAATTTGTGCACCATTTATTAATTTAGACCATTAAGAAAAGTCGTATGAAGTAATACTATTATCATTGCATAGCAACTTTTATCTAGTATTGTATTCTGATGCCTTCGATAAGCAGGCAATCATGCAGGTCAATGTATGTAGATATTTCTGCAATACAGAACACTTTTTCAGAAAAATAAATAATTATAGAAACAAATTAAATATATCGGTGCGAATCTTGAATTCGGTTTCCGAATCCTTCAACATATTTCGTCAAATTTTTTGCAAATATTAATGAAAGAAATGTTACAGATTAAATATTAACAATAAGATAAGGTTTTTAACGACTAATAAAAGCTATTCGTATGAGTCTAGTCCATGCTGTTTTCTGATTGATTTGGATAAGCAGTATAAAGAAAGGATAGACGTATTTAAGCATGTTTATCATTATATAGCCCGTTCTTTGAGAAAAGGTAATAATAATAGAATCGCAAAAATTTTTCTTTTTAATTGATACTTCAAGTTTGATTTCATTTTCATTTTTTTTTTCATTTTATAGCGAATTCTAATAGCTATCGAAAGTATAACAACAAGCAATAGCAAGCTACATAAAATAATGTTCATGAACAATTTATGGATGCTATTTTATAGGAACTTTCTCATCGATTTGAACTATTTCAATAAATTGTTCTATATGCTTATCTGTATCATATTTAAATAGATGAATCTAAAGCGAGATAATAAAGTGAAAAACTATTTAAAATAATAATTTTAAATGTGTTCAACAAAAAAGTGCTCATACACTGTCATATAATAAGAATTACCCGAGATGAATTTACAGGTATCAAAAAACACCATCATTGGTACTGCTAACACGGTTGTAAAATAGTGTCAGTTAATTTGATTAAATAGCTGAAACAACAAGATTTTATTGTCGCCATCATGTACCAACATTTGTCATTGTTGGTCATTTTACATTATATGTAAACAAAGAACTTCTTCGTTCTATTTCTGAAGCTGTTTCGGGATATCAGTTAATGTGATGATAACAATTCGTGTTATTCTTGATATTATTTTTGAAAAAGATCGTAAGAAAAGAAAAGTAAATTGTTTATATCCAGTTCCTATTACAAAAAGAGCTGATCTGAGCTTGATATGTGTATTATCGATTATGCAATGGTAGGCTCAGAAGGTATGTAATTATCGTTGAGTATGGTGCAAGTCAATGTGTTAGAGACAGCTATGACGTTAGAAGCAATGAACTATCAGAGCAAGGTAAAAAATAGTCAATGAAATTATTTAAATCCTATTGTTGTGATGCTGTAAGTCGATGTGAGTATACACGACACAATTGAGTTATAGTTCATTGAATATGACTCAAGAATAACTAGTAGATACTACATCGAATATACGATTGAAACTTTTAACCAACATAAAAATTCCTCATTAATGTCCTGGCCACACAAAAAGAAAAATGATTTTTCATCATGATAATATGATTAGGGTCATATAACAAAAAGAAACACTTGCTGATATGAAGGACCCTAAAACTCAAATTATAATATCCAATGAATAGTTAGCTAGAAGTCCAGATACCACTGAAATGGACTATTTTATTTGGGAAAGAACAAGTACGAAAGCATAAGATGTCAACACAAAATGGGTTGTAAACTGCTATCAAATACAAGTGAAAACAACTTGAATAGAATATTATTGATCGTGCGTTGGAGAGTTGGGCATAGAATTGTAGATTACTTTTATATCCTCACAGATCGAATATCGAACATCTATTGTAGTAAACATAGAAAAATTATATGAATAAGAAGCATTTCATTTTGTTTTAAAATAAATTGAATGATCTGCAAATATTATTTCAAAGTTGTAGCTGTTATATGCTGTTCATCGTTTTTCAAACTATTAACAAAAAATGCTTGTCTCAAATTTGATTCAATCTCGTTAACGTTTATCACATTATTTCTTGTACTGTAAAATGCCATGGTCATTTTCAATAAAAAAACGTCAAGAGATGTTAGTGTGCGTTAGATAAGAGTACGACGTGGTCTATTTGAAAAAAGACTCCGACTATCAGCGATCAATTGCAATAAGAAAAATGGAGGTCTATTAAATGACAGGTCTTATCAACAAATGAGAGTCAGGAATTAAACGGTGATTTTCTTTGGTCCAAAGCTAGGCAACTTTTCCAACGCGCTTGATAACACTATTTTATGCTTACAACATATAAGATGCAAACACTCCATGATATATAATTCAGTAAAAATAGTACGATATAATGCTATTGCTTTATCCTAAAAAGAATAGCGTAAGCACTGCCAAAGTAAACGACTTTTGACAAATCTCATTGCGTCTAATGCTTGAAGAAACTCAGTCAAATCTAAGTCAATGTAAGGACCAACAGAGAATAATATTTACTTTAATTAGCTTCCCATCATTGTAGCTACCACCTACGGAACAGAATGAGACCATACCGTGACGTCTCTTCGATTCAGTGCCTAATTCTCCCATCAGAAATTTGAGCACACTACTCAGACTATTTTTGAATAGATGGCTGTCTTTTTTATCGTTGCAAAATGAAAATGAAATCTGAAGCTATATTGATAAAAATAAGTCAAGATACGCAATTAAGAGTGTTAATTAGGATGAATACGTATCAATTCTATTGCCGTAAAAGAATCGAATATGATTTTCATTCTTCAAGAATCGATGAAATTTTATTTCTACTAGACTCATATGATCAGTCACTAACTTTTTGTGCAAGAAAGTCGACAATGTTCCACTTCGAACAAGAATAAAAACAAGAGGATCCAGTTCTCCTGCACTCCGCGTATATTTATAATCGAGATTTGTTTTGGAGAAATCGTAGTTCTTGATCATCGGTCTTACGTCCTTGTCCGTTGACCATTTCCAAAATGATAACGTGCCGAGCCACAAACACATTTAACTTCGAAAATGATGTAAAATGATGTATGCCAATAGATATTTCTTGCTCTCGCCGTTCATGAGCTGCTCGTATGAGAGTATCCATCAGATGTTGTTCATTTGTTTCTTTTTTCATTCACATTCAAAAGACTACCAACACGATATGCAATCGAAATGAGAGGAGTTCGAGAAATCTCTACGTGCTCTGCTAGTAATGGAATCATATCATTCGCTCGACAGAGAAATCTAGTGCAATTTATCACAGCATCCATTCGATATCCAGCCAATCCTCTGCTGTTCAGGATATGGGAGTGAGTTTATCAAGAAAACTAGGACGCGTTTCGACCTTGCTTAACCCATTGAGTACGGGCAACGTGAATTCGATTCCTGGTATTTTGGGATTTGAATAACTTGAAAAAATACGATCTGTGCATTATTTAATGATATGAATTGTATGAGTATTTGCATTTAGGATATTTGTATGGTTAAGATTATCCATACCTAGTGATGATTGTTGGTTATCCCTTAATATTTTTGGCAATCAGAACCTGATTTGATGAGTTAGAACGTGAGCCAATTTGACAACATATCTCTCGAAAAGGTGTTTGGTGTTACGAAAATCGTTCAAGAGTACCATCTATAGGAAAGATTCCGATCAGTTGATCGTATTTAATAAATCATACAAAGTGCATTTTTTGACATAAAAGGTTACCAAGGACAAAAGTCGACCACCTTCTGAAAGTCCAGTCCGAGTCACAGCACAGCATTACCCTTTTCGCAATGCATCAACAGCAATTCAAGTAAATCAAAGAAGAAAATGTTACGTTTATGCTAATGCTGTGAAGGTAGCCAAGTTAAGAAAAGATATTTCATATGAATGTATTGAATGTGATGTAGGATCATTGTGTCTTATGGATCGTTTTAAATACTATTGCACTCTAAAAGATTTTGAATCATGTATTTCGTGATAGTTTTTGCAAAATAAATGTTAATTTGACATTATACAAAACTTTTACTATATAAAAATAATCCCGTAGTCAAAGGGTTGAATGATGTTCATGCTGCATGTAATGCGATTTTTAAAATTTTGTTTGGCTATCACTCAATGAAAACTGAACAGTTTACTACACAAATTTTACACGCTTTTCGATTAATATAGTAGAGTAATATCTCAAAAAATCAAGTAAAAATCTTTCTTCGTTCGAAAGAAAATTTTGTTTTACCACTAAAGAGTAGAGTGGTATTTTTTGAAGTATTTGCACACTGGGACTCAATAATATATGAGAATAGCATACAAAAATCGGCTTCGGCACAAGAAACCGTTGGGAATATATTATTTTCATACACAATCGGCATTGTTCTATCACATGCAACACTTCGTTGTCTCTTTTTATTAAATTTGTTTTTGTCGATTTTTTTGCTCGAACGGTACAATGACTGTGTTCTTCACTCATATATGTGATAATTGAACACACAACGCATATCCACCATTCGTAAACATCAGATAGAAAGAGCGCAATCACTACAGATTAATTACGTTATCATTGAAGAACTGTAGGACATTTGCGTGAATTAAACTAGACAGCAAGAGAAATTGGATAGGTGGGCGAGAGTGAGTTTAGACTTTTCGCTACACGTTCACCCACATCGTCCACACCCTTAAGTATTGCTCTACAGGGTTCTCCCAATTTCACACAGTATCTATACTTGCAAGGTATATATCTCCTGAATGATCCATCTTGTTGAGCCGAAATTGCCAGTTTGTTTCTAGCTTACATCGATTAACTTACTGTAAAACTACCAACAAAATTAGTGAGATCGATTGAGCAAAGTTGGTCTGGCTTATGTTCAATATCTCCTACGGAGTATCAAAAGCTGGTCCATCCTACCAGATGAAAACGAAGTCTCTAGACCGTAAAAATTTGGAGTCTTCTGTGGTTTAGCAAGAGCTAACTTGCTCTGTGGTCGAATTCAAAATCTCTTTACCACGAAATGTCCGTTGCTTTTGAGTTTTTTATGGCATTTTTCTTAATTGTTTATCTATAGATTCTGTTTCTTAATTAAAAGAAAATCATGAATCAACTGCTTCATTGAAACAAAAATATGTTTAAAAGCTTCATATTCTTCTTGTCGAAGATAGAGACTTAATATTCAACATATTACAATAAATTCAGTCTAATGCAAGTAACCAGAAAGATATTCAAGAATATTCACTATACGAAAATGTTCTAACTAGAAAGCTGTTTAAAATTAGACGCCGCGATGTTTCTACGCATCCCTGATACGAGGCCTGTTCCAATATTCCAAACCATTGAGTTCGGTAATAACTCAATGAAACTTTCATTGGAAACATCAAGTACACGTAGATCATCCAAAACTTTGGTAGTTCCATAGTATGGATGTTCGATCACTTCGCCTTTAAAATCGTGTCCCAACGTAACACATTCGATACCGTTAATAAATATAATATGACCACTATCAAGAACGAAATTGTACACTTCTGAGCATTCAATTACGCTTTCATCTCCAATATCATGTGGAAATGTCCATTTCTTATTAATTCCTATTGGATGCCATGGTGTGATAATTAAGCCATTATCAAAACTAGCCATGGAAGCTTTGTTATTTTTACATACAATTTTTAAAACATAAGTAACAGTGGCCTCTGATCCATCTGGAATCATAAGAACATCACCTTTACTGATATATTTCACTAATATGGTTAATCCATTCGCCAACAGTACCACACAATTTCCATGAAAACATAGCCACAATCATCAGCGGAATAATCAGCGAAACAATTGGCTGAACAATCGTTTAAATATTTAGCTGTACAAAATCTCTTGTTATACCCACAACTTTCACCGAAAGACCTATGACAATGTACACAACATAGGTGTCTCTCGTTCACCATCCTATTGACCACAATTGGAGCGAGTCTTGTCTTTATGTATATGTCTTTTCTTCGGTGGATATTGAGAACAGTTTTCCAATCTATTCGTTTGACTTCAATATTGAGAAAGTCATTATTCGAGATTTGCAAATGGCCAAGCTTTTCCTTGCGTTCATCCATCTGTTTCTGCCATTCTTGAAGGTCCATTTCAACATAATCGCTGCTTGATTGATTTATTTTCAGTTCACTTGCTATCAATTTAAGACTTTGTTTCAATTGATCTTTCTCTTCATTTATCATTTCCTGTACACGTTCTTTAGTTGCTGCAGTCGTCGTTTGGGTGTTCGTAATCATTTCTGTTTCCCAGTCGTCGATTTCTTTCCATAATTTTGATATTCTGCTATTGTGATTTTTATTTTCGCTGTAGAGATTGTGTCTTAAAATATTATGTTGCTCAACCAACCCATCAAATTCTTTCTCAATTAACTTCCGATGTTCTTGATGGTGTACTTTGCAAAAACGTTTTTGACAACCAGTACATATTATACTGCTTTTATGTGTTTTTTTCAATTGATTACATGTAAAAAAAATCATTTTGAGTTGTCATTGAGATGTTAATATTATCTAAATTAAACCATGATTACAGTAAGATTTTTAGCTGCGTCTAAAGTGATTTATACTATATTTTTAATAATTGTGAGGATCTTACTTTTCTATGATAAGGGTGTGGGTGTGCGTGAGTGTGAGTGTGGGTGCAAAAATGATCTTCCCTACAATGACATCTACACGCACCCTTCATCCATACCCACACCCTCCAAGAAGAAATATCATGCTATAGTCATTTATATCTGTTAGTTTTCTGAAAAATAAATACGCAGTATTTCTTTGTAGATAAAGCGCAAAAAAAAGAGTCATTTAACCATCAAAAAATTGCTAAATTACAAATCTTGCATTTTCTCGCTCAGCTTTTTAGGCAAATCTCACGTTTCTCTTCAAACGAAAATCCAAATCTATATTTGATCTTTACTAAAACATATATAATATATGAACTTCAGTAATGCAGTTTTGACTGTGCTGTATAAAAAATGAAATATACTTTGATTAAAGAAATCAAATGGCGTGAATAAACAGAAGAAAATAAAACTGACAGTTCTTGAAACATCACTGTTTGACTCTTTTTGATAAGAACAGGTAAACCGGCTCTAAAAACGGTGCACTTATAAAATATTTCCAACCGGTAAAAAATGATGAAGACGGGCCGGTTCAAGCATTCCAACCGATCCGTCCGAACCCAACCGGTTACGACTCTAGGTGAGGGGAGGGATGTCACAGCGTCCAGACAAGCCTGGATATAGGAGTGTTTGGCTGTGAGACTGCGAGTGTGAAGATGAAGCACTTAAAACCCACAAACATTGTCAGCCACAGGCCACACTCCACCAACTCACCCACCCACATAGCACATTCGCAGACACAGCTCACACCCTACACATAACACCATTGTGTAAAAATGCATGAAAGAGTTTAATCAAAAATGTTTTCCAAAGGTCACAAAAATCTTTGAACAAAAGCAATTCTTGGTTCATTATTACTTGGATCACATCTGCACACTAATTGGTGTATTTTATACATACACATCTATCTGAGGGCGAGGGCACTGTGATTAAAGTGACAATGTTCACAATTCTTTTATCTAAATATCTATTGTTTGATTCTTTTGATTGTTTTCGAGTTTCATAGATCCACATATGTTCATAGCAACGAAAGCTTTCATTTGATTATGAAAAAAATGGTCTAGCGTGTAAGAGACTGTACAATACATAGTTTAATCGAAGATTCAATGTGACATTGACAACGTGAAAGCAAAGTGTTGTCTAAATATTTTATGGAGAATTTATATCCTATTAAAAATAATATCATTTAGTCGAGGACTCAATAATGTTCCTTTGCCATGTAAAATATATAGCTTCTGACAATCTCTCTCCCGAAGTTGAATATAGTTTCCAACTACGAATACCAACTACGATACAATCAATAACACCACAAAATATGTAAATTGGCTATTTTGATTTTGGGGTATGGTAATAATATCCTGTCCTTATTTTATAACATATTCGGAATCGACGAATGACTAAATAACCTCTTTTATTCAATGAAAGTGTTTTGCTTTATATTTGAAAATGTTGAGAGTTTTTCGATCTTCCGGAAATATTTCCGATTAGATTCTTTTCATATATTTTAACCTTAGAAATTTTTACTTTTTCTAACAAAAGGAGAAAGGATGAAGTCTCGATTAAAACTGTCGAATGGGTTGGGTTAATACAGATACCCATTGGGTTGGAACTTCCATGGATTAGCGCTAACCTAAACCAGTGAGTTGGATAGACCTTTTAAATAATTCCAACCTTGATCTATCCATTAAAATTTTTACGTAGATTTTGCAGTTAATCCGAGGACAACCCTTGGGTTAGTCCATGAAATAATCTATATTTCTCAGAAATTAGTTAAGAAAGATTTTACTCAATTAAGATGTTGTCACGATATATTATTTTAGTTCGGTCGATCGAAAATCAAATTAAAAATGACATTAGTACATTAGATTATTACTCATCTTGTAGAAGTTTTTGTAAGAAAGTATGTATGAAAAAATCAACACCGACTATGTTTTTTTTTGCTGTAGACAAATTTCTTTTTTATCTATGTATTTCTTTCGCTTTTTTCTCTTCTTGATTTATATTTTATTTTGTTTCCTTTAATATTCATAGCCATAGTGAACACTCATTTTATTCATATGAAAATAATAACAGTATACAAGGTGTCCCTAAGGGTTCATCGGAAAAGTAAACTTGAGTATCTCGTACACAATGGGTGTGAATTTGGATGTATCTACTCTCCTAAACATGATATTCTCACATCCATACCCACCCACAAAAAGAAATATTGTTAAAATACTTTACAAAACGAAATTTAAGCAATCAATCACACACTTTTTAGACGACATCTAACACTTTTATTTTCAGAAAATTTTTTACGAGATAAAACAGAGTTAATAGAATTCTCTAAATTAACTTTATTGAAAAAACATTCTCAATTTAATCCAATCTGGCTAATCAATCACGATATCTAGCTTACAATTAATTCGTTTGACATATTCTTTTTTAAATTCATTTTAAGGTCTGTTGCCAGGTGACACATAAATAAAATGTCTTTGATTGATTTTCTTTTTCTCATTCATCATATTATTTTGTCAATATAATAAAATATGTCTACACATATATCTATGTCACACCAAAACGAAGTCTTAGAAAAAGATATAAAAAGTCTTCAATTTAAATTTAATCAAATTCTAACATCCGGTTGTCATTATTATACACAAGAAATAGCAAATCATATAAAACATATTAACAATGCATTGGATAATATTAAACTTGATCATGAATTTCAACGTGGATCAAAAAATTGGGCAAAACAATTTGATTCAAATCAAATGAAATTAAATGAAACAAGTAAAATAGGGCAAAAAGAAAAGTTTTTTTCTTTTAAGGCCATCTTTTTAAAATCGACCTTAGGTCAAATGTATTCAAATCACATGAACTGTTCAGTTTTATATCATGCCATTTTCGGGAAGTGGTCAACAATTAAGGGACATAAATAGCTCATTTGATAACCGAAAAATTCTCTGTAGACCTTCATTTTATACACTTTATTTTTTTATTTGTTTAAAAGTATATGTCAGAATGCAGAGAATGAAAAAACGCTTTTTTTAATTCTTACTTTGTAAGCGGAGAAGTTTAATGTCTCGAACAATGGCGCTCGAAGTTATAAAATTACTCTTGTATACAATAGTAATAAAGCTTAATTCACAAAAAGAGACTCTATCATATTCTGAATTGTGACATGCTCTTTCAAACATATACAGAGTGGGAAATAATATTTTGCAAGGGGGGTACCGCCATAATTTCAAATAGAAGACATAATGAATTTTATATCAAATGAAAGCTTGTCGAAAATGGGGTTTATTGATACTAAATAGTAAGGATTATGAATACTTTTTAATATCGAACTTAAGAAGCTTTGAGAAATTTTATACTTTTTTTGCGGTAGAAAAGTAAAGTGCGAGTAATTGAAAAATTAATTAAAACGTTTTTCTTGGATATTTTTATATGGTTCGATAGAGCTCGTCGAGCTCTACAAAACTGTATATACCAAAAAAAATTTCAAACAGAGTTGTTGAGTTAAAATTCAATGAAAACTGTCTAAAGAATGTACCGAAAAACCCTCTTTTTTTACATTTTTTATTGACAAAAAAAAGTGGTTCTTTTTACACTAAGTTGAGCTGTTTTTCATTAGTATCCTTATGTAAAATGTTTGAAAATATACTCATTCGATGCAATTTTTTCACGCTGCATCGAATGAATATATTTCGAAACATCTAAGGATATAAAAATAATCAGAAAAAAGGAAATTTTATTGAAAATTCGAGTGTTTTTCTTCCATATCAAAAATATGACTTTTTTAACATTTTTTAACATTTTCCAAATAGTTTTTTGAAATTTCTATCAAAAGAAAAAGACTCAAAAAAATTTTAATATATACAGTTTTGTACAGCTCGACGAGCTCTATCGAACCATGTAAAAATATCCAAGAAAAACATTTTAATTCATTTTTCAATTACTGACACTTTACTTTTCCACCGCAAAAAAAGTATAAAATTTCTCAAAGCTTCTTAAGTTCGATATTAAAAAGTGCTCATAATCCTTACTATTTAGTATCAATAAACCCCATTTTTGACAAGCTTTCATTTGACATAAAATTCATTATGTCTTCTATTTGAAATTATAGCGATACCCCCCTTGCAAAATATTATTTCCCACCCTGTATATAGACTGAAGATCCACAGAGAATTTTCGATTGCGAGATCAAAAAAATCGAAAAAGATTTCCTTCTTTTCTTTCTTTTCTTAGATATTGAACAATTAATTGCACAAGGATATAGTTTGACTCAAGAACTTAATACTTGTCTTCATACAACTACTGTTAAAAACAAAGAAGAAAATCAAATACGAGAATTAAATAGTTGGACATGTAGTACATTACTCGATTATCTTCAAGTAAAGTTTTATTCTTTGTTTTTTTTCTCTTGTTTCTTAAATCATCAAGGTTTGCATATTTTAGGCACTTCAACCATCTGCATCGGGTTCTTATGCTCGATTAGATAATATTGCTCATCATCTTGGTGTTACTGATCGTTATATTGGTTATCGACATAATTTAACTCGTAGTGGAAATCAACCATTAAATGTTCATACAATATGGGCTGATCGAAAATTACCTCGGTCAAAAACATTTATTCAACAACCATCAACACCAGATTGGAAAGCTTGGGTTCATGCTTATCGACGTATTTGAAAACATAGAACAAAAAAAAATAAGAAATTATTTGCTATCAATATAATATTTTTCTATTTAGATTATGGTCCCTCAGCAACAACAACAACAACAACATCGAATGAACAAACAACGAATAATAATCAAAAACTTCTTGGTTATTTACAACCAACACAAACAACAACAGGTTTCTTTATATAAATAAGAAATTATTTTAATTTGTTTTGTTTTTTACTTTTCTTTCGAATAGAATCAAATCAATCGAGTACAAAATCGAACTTTTATTCACAATCATGCATATATGATAATGATTATAATAATGAAGTTCGTAAAGCAGGTATTAATTTAACATTTCCAGGTGAAACTGAATTTATGGATCGATATAAAAAACCTGAAGAATTACCTTATTCTCCATTTACAATTAATCCTCAACCTGATTATACATTACCTGGTCGACCATTAGCTCGTGTTGTGCCTGATTCATTTAACAGTGAATATACACGCAGGTATATTTAATTTAATTTAATTTTTAATATTTTCGGTTTTTGTTTTTTAGTTATGTATTTCCTGATTCATCGAAAATTGAAAAATTTCCATGGTTACGTTCATCGTAAATCGAACGATTGTCTTTCATATCCTTCCTTTTCTTTATCATATATATATACCTTTTAGAAAAAAAAAAAAAAATACTGAACACCTTTATTTTTCAAATAAAACAGTTAATCGATCAAGTTTTAGTAAATTACGTTTAGAATCAAGTGCCCATACTTGACTATCATCTATTGATACTAAAAGAAATAGAAAAAATTATATTAAAGAAAATAAAGAATCATGTATATATTTTTTGTTTGTTATACATACCGGTAAGTGAAAGAAAACGACCGGGTAATGTTGTTGATCGTGTTCCAATAGGATTTGTTATCGAAATATTTTCACGACATTGAATTTGTCCACAACTTGTTAATAACCACAATGTATGTTCACTAATAGATAATTCAAGAGCTGAACATTCTATTAAAAAGAAATGATTAAGATTGATCCATTCTGAACAATAATTATTTACCTTCAAAAGCTATCCATGATGTTCCAATACGATTTTCTTCGTTAATACCGATTCGAGCATAAACAGTTTGTTTGTTATCTGTAGCATAGACCTATAAATAGACAGAAGACAATGCTATACTGAGAAAATATGCTTATCATATTGTTGGAATCTTCTATCTTGTATAGAATAATCATATTAGATTGATAGAAAACATTTAAAATATTATATTTTCTAGACTGAAAGGATAGATTCTAGAAACGGGAATTCACCTTTATCTTTAATATAGCAACCATATGCTAACCATGTTTAGAAGCAGTAGGTTTTGTTTTGAACTGGATCGGATCCCAGTTCCTCAGAAGTACTGAGTTGCCATGAGAAATGAGAAAAAACAATTTCAAGAACAGTATGAAAGAATAAAAGCAAACATAGTCGCAATGATTGAAAAACTTGACCAGATTTCTGTAGAAAATCAATAACATTACATATATAAACTAAACTTAAGTAAACATGTAACACATTCAAAATTGGTTTTGTAAAACGATTTACTGCTATACGCCAAACCATCTCTTGCATTTATCTAATACTTTACTTTGTGCATGTTCATATCTAAATGCGTCTATGCTCATATCTCTATCGCGTCAGTTTAGAGTCAAATGAATCGAGTCTCGATAAACATTTTTTGTCAAAATATCAAAAGGAAATGTTGGAGTATGGGTGAATAGAAGATCCATACCCATATCTACAAAAGCGAATATGTACTGGGAAGTTACACCTAAGTTGAATTTTCTTCTCCTTTCAATATGACTTTAGACTCTAGATCGAAATTCCTGTAACTGAACCACTCTTCTAATAGTAGGCTTTTCATCTATTGTCGCCTTGGACTAAATATTAAACCAGCAAACTGAAATGTGCATACTCAGTAATAAAATGATAAAATTCAAGCGGTACAGGTTTGCTCTAAGGGGGATAAAGCGCGACATTAGTACTTTCAAGTACGAATAAGGTGCGATGACGTATGATACTTCACACGTACTTCATCATGCTTTATTCGTACTTCGAAGTACTGAAGTCGTGCTTTTTTCACCATTAGTTTGCTTTCTTGAAGTTTGACCTGTATGATCTTCGCCAAAATTTGCAGATAATATTAGCAGGATGTATACTATGATAATCTTTTGTATCCTTTATAAATTATTATCTGACAGGTATCATAGAATAATTACTTAAATAAATCAACGCAATAATCAAATCTACAATAAATAATTCTATGATTAAACAGAAAACTGGGGCACGAAAAATTTATTCTATGAAATATAAACATCAAAGAAATGCTCTAAACAAGATAATCTAGATCAAAGAATATCATTCGATTGATTGCCTGAAAGAAGAATAGAATAATTTTTAAATTACCATCCAATCAGCTGGTCCACAATATATTTGTGAAAAACTTCGATATCTTTTTGGTTCACCAGGTATAGGAATCCAAGCAGGTGGTAATAATGATAATTCATTTAAATACACATCATCACTAGCAGAAATATGACCATGACGAAAATGAACATATCCTTGATCATCAACTGCCCAAACGCCAACATTATTGCATACGATATGAACTAATCTTCGATTCCATTCTAAAACAAAAACAAAAATCTTCTATTGAAAAAAATTCATTTATTGAAAATTTATTTTTTCCTCACCAAATTGACTTTGATCTAATTGTTCCCATCTTGTATTTGTCTCAACATTAGCTCGTACATAAATATTACATGATTCATCAAGTGACCAAAGTATAGTACCTAATAAAATGGATATGAAGTAAGAATAAAAATCGACATAGAATGAATTGTTTACCTTGAGAAGAATTATCTGGAACAAATGTTGCATGTGTTAAATATTGAGCTTGACGTGGTTTTTCAAGTATTTGACCATTTGATGAACAAATCATTTTGTCTGCTGTTAATGCCCAAACAAAATCTAAAGAAGACATAAAATAGAGAAAAATAGAAAAACAAAAATATCAATACAAACTTTCGTTTGTAAATGCTCCAATTAAACGTTGTAAAAGAGTGTTCTTTTGAATTAATTTCCATTGAACACCTTAATAGAAAAATGAAAACTATAATTTCCAAAAATTGCTTCATAGAATAATTTACCTGTTAAAGAATCTGCAAACATTTGAATTTCTTCTTCACAATTAGTAAAACATAATAATTCTGAATTAACACAAGTTAAATATCGTTGATGAAACATTAAAAAATCATCATTACATAATATTTCAAAAAATCCTTTATCCGATGACCATTGATGTATCCATAAACGATGCATCTTATCCACAATACATATAATATTATTATTTGTTAATAATATGAAATCATCAAGTGGACCAAAACTAAAATATATTGAATTTTCTCAAAAATCAAAAGGTGTTTTTTTTTTCATACTTATGTTCAATAAAAATCCATCCATCACCTTCAAGACAATCATCTGTACATCCAACACGGACTAATATTTCTCCATCATTTGTTGAAACAGCAACTTTTCCCGAGAAACAAAAAACTTTATTTAGGTTAAATGGACATGTTACATTTATTGATTCATCAGATTTATTAACTGTTCGCATTAACCATAGTGTACCATCGTCTTTAACATACCTTTAAAAAGAAAATATAAATATTCTTCCAATGTGAGTTAAATCAGACAAAAACTGTCGGTAGACTGTTCGATATAATGCGCCCCATACCAACGGTATTCGTCGGTATGCCGGCGACAGTGCAAATGAATGTGCAATATGGGTTATTAAGTATTTTTTTTTTACATACCATCCACATTGATCATTAATTGACATACTTAGTAACGATTGTCCATTGCCAATGTTTATTTCATTCCAAGAAGAACCAATGGGAGGAAATTTAATTGAATCAATAGATGAATAGAGACGTTTATTAAAAAGACGCCATACTGTTCGATTACTAATACTAACAACAATTTGTTCAGCTAGATCAGAATGTTGTATCCATTGAAGTGGTATATTCATATTATTAATATTTAATTTAGCATAGAATATTTTTCGCTCATTAGTACAAATATAAATATAAGTTAATGAACAATTTATATGATAAATTTTTGTTCCTCGTGGAATTGAATGACAATTTACAATAGAAAATCTTTTCGTTTCAGCTAGTTTTGATTCAGTTCGTACTGGAGAAGTATTTTCATTTATTGCATTACTTAAAAATTCATTAGTTGTTGAAACAGTACTTGCTGGAGATTCACTAGTGATTTCTTCTTGAATTTCATTCGGGATTGATATTGGTGATGATATTAAAGTATCTTGTATATTATTTGGTACATCCAAATATTCAGAAATATTATTGACATTTTCGTCTAATATGTTGGTATGTTGTTTCGGTGAAAATTCTTCGTCGTCTGTATCTGTATCATTCTGAATTTTTGATATAAAGTCACGTAATTCACTTAAGTCTGTTGATTTTTCCGGTGGTTTTTCAAATGATCGATTTGTTGGAATAATCGATGTTTTGAATTCCTCAAATGAATCTTCAAGTTCATTTGAAGCTGTTTTTAAAATAATTTCTGATGTAACAGAATGATTTTCATTTGAATCAGAATGGCTGCTTAGTGAGTCGGCGGTATTTGCCAACTTTAATAAGTCATTAGGAATTATATTTATAGAAATGCTTCCGTGTTCAGAATTTACAATTTTTGCATTATCAAAATTGATCACTGGTGGTAATTCATCAATTGATATATGCATTTGAATATTTTCTTCGTCTGATTCAGTTTTTGATGATATAGATTCTTCATTTTCTAGAATAATATTATCTTCAAAATCATCATTAGTTGAGTCTTGTATTAATATTAAATCTTCTTTTTGTGTTATTGTAATAAATGCAGTGTCTTCAACTAATTCATTGACAATTGATATTATATCGATTAATTCATTTAGACATCGTTCAATAATTTCTCGATTAACTATTTCATTGATTATATCATTAAGACAATGTTCAAGTTCCATACGATTATCTTTTTGTTGAATAAAATTGTTCCTTTGTTCATTACCGGAATCAGTTTCATGATCTGCTGAAATAATCAGAGTTGATAACAAACCTTGAAATGATAAGTAGATGAAAATTTATTAAACTTCTTGTTAAAAATTTTTACCATTTTTTTTCGCATGACGACGTTTTGCTTTTGTATGTGGAATTGTAAGAGTTTCAACAACCGGAGTCGATGGTTGTGAATCTAAAGGAGCTGTTGGAATAACCGATGGAGCTGAAAGAATCAATCGTATAAAGGGTAATTGAAAAATTTGTAGACAAGATGATTGTTCATTTTTAATGCGTTAGAAAATATTTTCAAGGAATCAAAAGCTACGAGTTAAGATCAAAATTTTATTCTCATTTTGAATATGAACATCGAAGTTTTGTCTCAGTTTCTTTTTCGAGAATAGTAAAATAGCGCATGAAAAGTCAACAAAAAAAAATTAGTTTCGATAAAAAATTTATGCATTTTCACTATTGCAATTTCAAACTAGAAGTTGAGATCTGTATTTATATATCAGCTTGTAGAATAGAAGTTATGCTCGTAGCCTCCATTGGGTAAAAGCTACAACTTACAAGAGAAGTTCTTTAACTGTTCGCTTACTTTTGAGTCGAGACTATGTGCATTATGTAGATTCAAATGCGCTAGAAATACTCTAGAAATACTTTCTGTCCTTAACTTTTTGTTATGGAAGATACTACAGATTTGCGATATGTTTTAAAATGAATGTCGTCACTCCCTCAGAAATATCAGGCTTTGCATAGAGACAGACTTTAACGAAAATTATTCCTTGTGAAAATTACGACATTTGTTTCAATTTGTTCCTATCCATAAATAAGAACATAAAATATGTTGGTTTACATGAATAATGTAAAAGACATACTATTACTGTAGCTGTATCTTAGGATAGGAAAGGTGATAAGATCCGAAACTTTCACAATAAAGTACTCTCTAAAAATGCAGTATTTTTTAACAATAAGATAAGGGTATGAACTCTTTTCAGGATATTCATAGTTCATTTGAATCTACATAATCTACATAGGCTCAACTCAAAAGTAATTGAACAGTTAGAGAACTTCCCTTGTGAGACAAGATTTCTAAGCCCATATTCGACAAGAACACCAACTTCTAGTCCTAACTCATAACGTTTGACTTGTCGAAAATATTTTCTAGTAGATTAAAAGTAAACAAAAATGTCGTCTAAAAGCTTTCCGATCACCCATTGTATTCGTCAAATGAAAAAAAAAACAAACTAACCGGTTGAAGATGGTTGTGTAATGGAAACAATTTCACCATCAGGATTTTCAGTTGATGGTTGCCATTTCTGTTGTTGTTGAGTTCCTGGCTGAGATGCCGCAGCTTTGTTGCGTTGTCTTCATAGATATACAGAAAAAAAACTCTAAAATCTCATACAAATAAAAAATAAAAATGAATACTTTATGAGATCATCTTCAGCTTCTTTAAGTTTTTTATCAATTGTGTCTGTAAGTTTTTCAATTTGAGTTTTAGCTGTTTCTTGTACTGATTTAGCTCGAGATTTAAGTTTTCCGAACCATTCAGTAGCTGTTGTCATTACTTCAAAGCAAAATTTCGTTTTTGTTAAATAAATATATGTCAAGTAAAATACAAGAATTTTGACTCACCTAATTGTTTATCACTATCTTTATGCGTTTAGGCTTTTTTTTCCTTTTTATACAAATGATAATAAATAAAATGAAAGAAGAAGATGATGACGATAAAAAGATGATAAGGCTATCCGTTTTTTATTTTATTTTTCTTCACGGACTAGAGAAGAACAAATACGAAAAAAAAAACACTGTCAGCTAATATAACAAGAATTTTTTTTAAATGTACGATTAAAATTTTATGATGGAATAAATGATTTCGTTCGTGTCATATCTAATGGTAGATCTGGTAAGGAAGTTGACACAGCACGATCAATTTTTCGTGCATCATTTAAAATTGGAGATGGTTTTGAGGCTACTGCAAGTCGAAATGACGTTGATTGTGTTACTTTATGTGTAACAGGTGTTGCCCATTTTATTTTAGGATCAGGATCGATTGCAAGTGTAGGAACAATAACAGAAGCTGTTATTCGTGCTTGAACTTGTCGTTGATTTGAAGTTATTAAATTTGTTTGGGATCGATGAGTATGATGTGTTTTTATTGTTCCTACTTGACGAGATTGAGCAACTTTTACTAATCCGGGTAATGATCGGGTATTAGATAAGTTTTGTGGCTAAAAAGAAATTTAAAAAAGAAAACTGCAACAACAAAATAATTGAAATTGAAATTTTACTTTTAATTGTAATGTATGAACAGTTGTCATATCGACATTGCGATTTGGTACACTATCTAATTGAAGCAAAACACGAAGGAAAAAAAAACAACAACATTAAAGTTATTGAAAATTAAACGTTTTACTTTCTCTAGATAGACGTCGTTCAGATTTTGATGATATTTTCGACGTAATACTATTGATGCCTGAAAGCATTGAAGAATCAAATGTTTCTACTCGTTTTAATTTAGATAAATTTTGGTTTGGTGGTGGTGGTTCATAAAGTGAATGACGATGTGCATTACTAACTAAATATAATAAGAATTAAAAAAAACGCATATTTCGATGATTTGTTCGGTGAAATTTTCGTTAATACAAACATTCATCTTTTAATGTACGAACTTTTGCTGGTCGACTACGAAATCGACCTTCATTTGTAATAACAATAACTTCCATAGTATATTCTGTATCTGGTTTAAGCATTGTTGCATGATATTCTTGATCTGTACCTGAATAAATACATCGTTTATTACATAAAAGTTCATAACGACTGAAACGGCCAGACATAACTTCTGGTGGTTGCCATTTAATATGTATTTCACGTCGACCTACTATTGAAAATGTGGGTGGTGCTGGATATGAATCACCTAAATAAAACAAAAAAAAAGGTTAAAAATCTTTTCGAATAATTCAATTTATATTTTACCTGCTGAAGCAGTAACTACATTTATTGTTACTCGTGGTCCTTTGCCTTTATTACTAATAACACATACATCAATTTGATAGGTTGTACTAGCTGATAATGAACTAAGTGTTGTTCCACATTCAGTTGTGCATTCATACTCAGAATTATCTAAATATTTGAGTAACTTTTATTTGCAAAACAAATTAATAGAAGTATTGAAGTATAGAAGAAGAAACTTGGACCCTTCTCTACAGTTTGCATTTTTCGGATGGCAATGAATGCAGTTTAGTGCGCTTATTCCCAATAAACTATTTTTTTCAAAAGCCAGAAAAACTGAATAATACCTAAAAAATGTAGGTTTTTTGAATCCTCACTATGGAGTCCAAGAATATTTGCGTTAACTAGAGTTAGAAACAATAGGTAAAAGAACATTCTAGCAAATTTTGGAAAAGTTTGGTGATCGAATATGGGTGGATTGTTCATGCTACAGAACTAGTCGTTCGGGCAACACTGTCAAGAAGAGTATTCTGTTTCTCAGAAGTTAAGCGTGCAAATTGACAAATATTTTTTACCATTCTATAGCGCTGGAGTTGAAGATTCAGAAAATGTACTTTATTTGTTTGTTGAACAGTTCAATTTTGTCAGATTTCACAATTTTCAGGCTAATTTTTGAGCAAATAGCTTTTTCAGTTTCTTTGAGGGTTGCAGTAAAGTTACCTATATCATTAGATGGACTATACTTCGAATTATATTTCCCTACATTTAAAACTTGAAAAATAACGATTTTTAATTTTAGCCAAATATTTACCTAAATGCACGCTGTGCCTTCCTCCTCTCAATAATTGGAAATTACTCATTATTACTCAATAAAACTACCAAGACTTTTTGAATTTTTTACTACCTCTATAACACATTGTCTTACATATTTTCAAATTTGATACACTCAAATATAGAATCACAGACTATATATCAATAACGTCTATTTATAAGATATGAATGACTTTCTTATTGCATTTCTTGAGAACTAATTAAAAGAATGATGAAGAAATTTGTACTGAAATAGAGAGAATAAAACAATGTTCCTGTGATAGCAAGAGTAGCTACATTGTGTTTCACAGTTGAATCCCGCTCTGATTGTGCTACTAGCTTTTTGCATCGATTCCGATAACTAATTTTATAATGGCTCCGATCCTGCTGCCAGTCCTGCACTTTAACCATTTCGAGAGATATTCATCAAACAAGGCTCAAGAATAATAGTTTCTTTGACAATCCAAGGTTCTTTGTTGCTTCTCATTTTGTATATTTAACTTTTTTTTTTCATTTGAAAGAGCATGCCATACTACAGAACCACTATTTACTTTAAAATTCTTGTTGTTTTTTTTTATGCGAAGGAAAAGTATGTCAAATTCAATACCTTGAAAAATTTTTAAAATGGTCATTTGTTTGTACAGTTATTTTTCTTTTGCATAATAATAACAAGCCTTCATTGAACAAAAAAATATGGCCTCTGTCAAACACTACAGCTTCACATATTCTTTCAAAGAAAAAAAAAGCAATTTTGTTACAATGAAGCTCTTTTAGGAATACTAAGTTCGTTGATCGCAAAAAAGATAAACAGAGAAAAAACGACTATTTTTTTAAGAAGGGAATATCGGAAATCATCCAAAATTTTGGTGAAAAATGAGGCAGCAACTAAAAAAAATCATATGGTATGTGAAAGATCAAACTTCAGGCTATCTTCGCATAGATTTATTTCTGACAAAAATTGATTGTTCTTTAGGAGTGCGGAGAAGGCGGCGGGAGGGTAAAGCTTAATAAAAAAAAATTTTCTTACCTAAATAAACTTGATAGCCTTTAAATGAATTACATCCACTAAGATCGGGAGATTCCCAAGCAATACGAGCTGCTGTCATTGTTCTACGTACAACATGAAGATTATTAATAGGCGGAGGTACTAAATACAAATGCATTAGTGAATTTATATTGTTGTTAATCTGCTTACATTCTTCATCTGTATGAAATAGAGTTGGATCACTGGGAATACTGTCACCATGAGATGTTACATATTGAACTTGTACACTATAATTTGTATTTGCTTTTAAATTTTTTAAACAATAATTTGCATTATTTGTTACAGCAATTGGTATGTCATCTTTCAAAAGGAAACGTCATATATCAAAATTTGATCACGTATAAAGTAAAATTTATAATTAATATAAAGTAGACAAGATCAATTGAATTAACCTTGGAAATATCTTCTTTGGGCAAAATATTTTCGATTAACTTATGAATAAGTTCATTTGTGTTTTAGTATACAATTTAGTTTATCTGATCTCAAATGAAGCTATTACAAGGTTTCTATGAAGATGAAATGACGTACTCAGATATTTTACTCTTGATTAAAATTAGTTTAGCTAATTGATTTTTCGAGATTATTTCATTTAAATAATAAGAATAGGACTAGATCTTTTCTTGAGTAATAATAATCAGTTTATGAATTCATTCTTTTATGATTGATATATTTAAAAATCTTACCAAGAATAATTCGATATTGAAATTCATTATTATCCCAATTATCAATACATAAATTCCAAGATATATCAGCAGAAGTATTTCGACATTCTAATTTAATATATAAAATCTAAAAATAAAGTGTATTTTTTAATATTAATTACCATCAATATTTGGTCGATTAGGTTTTATATCTCTGTGTACCATATACCAAAGTAATTTAGCTTCATCTTGAATATCTTTATGTGTAATCCATTTATCTCGTATTTGTTTTAATTTTTCCGGTAAAGTTTTTGAATAACATAAATGATCATTAGCTCCATCATATTGCGCAATTGTTCTAAGACACCTATGAAGAGAACAAAAATTTTTAATTTTTAGAAAAATAAAAAAAACTCAATCTTTCAAATTTACATTAAAGCAAACCAAATATTTTCATGTTCATTAGATGAAAGTATTGTTTCAATAGCAAAAAGTATTCGATGAAAGACTGTTAGATATTGTAGACATAATTGAAAACCATAATGAGTTGTACATAAACAACTTAATGCATAGCAAGCATTTTTATTTACACCTTTTTCTTCATTTATTTCAAGCATATGTAATAATGCATCGAACTTTTTATGAAAGAAAAACCAAATCAAACTGAATTTAAATTTTTAATTAAATTAAACTTACTATTTTATATTGTCCACAAACAGAAATTAATATTTTTTTTCCTTCATCTTTTTCAATTAAACGTCCAATAGCAAAAGCAGCATTTGTCGAACGACTTGGTTCACTAATATCAAGTGCTGACGTAAGTTGATTTAAAATTTCTCGATGTTTAGAGTGTGTCAATATTGTTTGACAACCAAGTTCTTCAACAGTAATTCTAAAAGTATTATATTTAAAGAATAACTACTGTTATTATTATTATTATTTTACCTAGCAAGTACTAATGCAACATTACTAGCAATCCACGGATTAGTAGAAGATAATAATGATGATGTATTTATAATCATTTGAGCAATACAAGCATGATTTAATATTATATCACGTCCTTCTTTTGAACTACACTTAAAAATAAAATGTAAACAAAAACAAAAAAAATTATTTTCTATTACTATGACAAATAAAAAAAAAAACTAGAAAAGACCTGTGACATTTTTATTTTATTTAAACATACTACTTTTTTTTCTTGTTTTTATTCATTGTAAAAAATTTTCTTTTAAATAAAATTTCTTACATTTCATTAAACTAAACCTGTCACAGATTTCGAGTGTGAAACCTACATACTATAGTACCAAGCGTACCAGCAGCATTCAAAACACATTCAGAATCAGAATGTTTTAATAAATGACATAATACTCGTATAATATCAACAGTATTCGATGTACGATCAGTGGAAAATACAGTTAAAAATTGTTTTAAACCTGGTTCTAATTCTACTGCACTACCCAAAATATAAGCACTATTACCACAGACACTAAAACAAAAATAGGGGAAAAAAGAAAGGTATCTAGATTTTATAATGATAATTTCAATTGATAAGATATCAAAGAATTATTCTTACCGATCATCGTTGCTTAGTAATAACTGTGCTATAGAACGAAAAATATCGTTAACAGTTTTTTCACTAAGAAGTCGTTCGATAGTTTTATCACGATCACGTCTTAAATCATTGACACAATATTCAAGTGCATGACGAATACTTCTACTTATAGGATTGATTGATAAATTTAATTTATCATCTCCATTTATTATATCCAAATTATCTTGATTGGGTACAAATCGAATAAAATAATTTTTAATATCGAAATAAAAGTTATTATTATCTACATTCACCATTTGAATAAATATTCAAATAAGAAAATTGTTATTTGTTTCTAATGTTGACGTTATTGTTCTTATTCTTATTATTCTCGTCGTCTTATCAGCACTCCAAGTAAAACATCTACAACGGACACACAGAGAGGGAGAGAAAAAGTAAAGAAAAATATGAAAAATCGTAACAATTGTTCTGTATATGTGTCCGCGTGAACATGTCTCATATAGAGAGTGTATTTATTTGAAGAAAGACAAAGAATAAAAATAGGAAAATGAAAAAGAAAAGATGCAAAAGAAGAAGCAGAAAAAAAAAAACACTGAAAAGAAACTATGAAAGACATAGATGGTCAAATATTTGCTGTTGTTAAGTGTTTTTCATTTTTATTGTTAACAAAATCAAGCAATTTAATAATCAAACTGAATTCGTTCATGACATACTTGATCGATAGCTTGATTAATAGTGAAATTATCTAAACCAATTTCACATAAATTAACCATGATGTATAATTTATTAAGAACCAATTCATTCTAAATGAAAAAAAAAATAAAACAAAATTAAATATAAATTTTCTTTATTAACAAACTTGAAGATCAAAACATTGTTCTTGAATATATTGTGTAACAGATATATAACAATCATGTTCAGTAAGTTTCATATGTTTTTCTATTATCATTTCTAAATAATCACTAGATGTCATTGATAATGCTATTGATGCTATTTTTTGCATATAATTTATAATTATAGCTCGATCCTAAATAAAAAAATGAATACATATATATGTATATGAATTTACTTGCTAATAACTAAAATATAACCATTATGTTTAGATATTTGAGTTTGAGATGTACAGGACAAAAGTTTTTTTCGTACACTGTACCGAGAGGAAAAACAGTAGACTCTATAAAGCATTGCCGCCGGATATGGTAGGATAACCTGTACATCTCTAATTTGAACCACCATGCCTGAATGGCTATATTATTCGACACGTATATACAAAAAGTATTGTGTGCAAATCTCCGTATTACTAGCAATGGAATGGTCGTGACAAATCGTTAACGGATGTTTGTCTTAGATCATCCCTTCGTTAGTATATTCACTACGTTGTGATTTACACTTGTTCTTGTGGTTAGTTAATATGTATAGAAATTGCAAGAACTCTGCTTCAGACTGGCCTATTGTCTAGAGATAGAGTTAGTCATAATTGTAAGAAAGATCTTAGACGATTGAATCTATCGCTAGACAGTACTTGATACTGCAAGGTAGCTGATATTATATTGTAAATTATTTTGTTTGTTAAAAATAAAAATGGTTTGATACAAACGTTAAGTAATTGAGTAAGTTGACGTTCTAAATTTTCTTTTTCAAATGAATTTTCTTCAATATTAGATAAACGACGAGCTATAATAGAAAGACGAACACTTTCAGTAGGTACAGCATCATGCTAAAATAATATATTAATATTTATAAGACATCATAAATATTTATTAATCATACTTGAAGTCCATTATTATCATAATCTTGAATAAAATAATGTTGAGATTTATCTGATTGTTTTTCTGTACTTTGAAATTCACTAACATTATGAATTTTTCCTAAAATCTATGAAAAATAAAATAAAGAAGACTTATTAAAACATATTATTAGTTGTTTATTATCGTACAAGATCACCATATTGCATAACATGACTTGTATTTGTATTTTTCTTTGTTATTAAATATTGTTGATATAAAGATTCTTGATTAATTTTTTCAACATCGGAATCTTCCATCCAAACAACTGAATAAAGATCACCTAAATATGTTTGACGTTTTTCATCATAATAACAAGCATATGATGATTCTATAGAATTTGATGCTGTTGTTGCATATATATTGATATTATTTAAAAGAATATTTTCAAACATTGAACCTGATTCACATGCTTCAATATAGATGATCATCTTTAATAAAAGAAAATCTAAATAAGAATATTTTTGTTTTTATAATAAAATTATTTCATTACTTGTTTGTATTTATTTTGACTATGCATTTTCATGATTGTATCATTAAAATCTTTGGCATAGAGCTACAAAGAAAAATCAAAGATTTTTTTTTTTCTTTAAATGAAAGAAATATATCGACATACCACACCAGTTGGAAAAGCAACTAAACCTATATGAAGAAAATAGCTCATAGGAAAGATACAAACAAAAGAATTTACCCACAGCACCGTGATCAGCAAAATAGATGAATACATTATCATCGGGACCACTAAAATCAATCGATAAACAATTTTTATATTGAATTATTAGACACTGACAGTTATGTTAGATTGAATAAAAAATCAAAAGTTGATAGATTTTAACACCGTTATTTTTTCCACTTCAGTGTAAAGTGATTTTATTTTCAAGTAGAAAAAAATATCAATTATAGCACATTATTCGATAGCTATCGTTTTTTTATTGAGAACATTTTTTTGATCTCAGACAAAGTTATTTCTTTTTTTTGTTTACAGCTTGCTGTATTAAATTTTAAATACAAAAAGATATATCTAATATATACTTTTTTCATTTAATGTTTCGTTAATTAAAATATCAATTCTTACCTTTCTAAGACTTTACCACTACCGATACCTTGCATAGCTTCTTTATTTCCAAGTAAAATATTCATAAAATTTTTTGGTGTTACATTCTATTTAAAAAACAAAAATGTTTGTTTTTTAGTATTCAAAAATCTTAATAAATCATCATACTTTGCCGTTATAATCATGTGGTACACCATGATAAACATCAGTTCCGTTGGGATGATTAATAATAATACCTTTTGTTGGATTTCTTGAAATGAAAAAAAAAAAGAAAGCAAATATCAAACATTCTATTCTGTCTATGCCTGTCACATACTGTTGATTGTGAGCTAAATCATCATACATCATGACAATAATATTTGAATCTGGAATACCATTTTTATGTAATATTTGATAGGCATGACAAACATCAGCTTGATGACGATAATTATACCAACCATTAGAACCAGCAACAAGTACTACCCAATGTGTTGCTGAAATACAATTGATTCCAAATAAAACAAGACTTGCAATGAGTAGAACAAATTGTTGTTTCATTGTATAGATATATTATTGGAATGCAATGAAAAATTCAATGAAGATAAAATGTTAAATGTAGGCTTCAGTTGGATGTATCGGTTTTATTCTGGTCTATGATATGATAGAAGGTAATTCGTTATTGATGACATCGCAATATTGATGAATAATTTCATTGAAAGAAAAAAAAAAAAGCACATGTATCTTGGCGACGCTGTCGTGCATATGATGCTGACTCAAGCATGTGACTTGGTGCACATGGACCAATTGAGAATAAATACTCGTTGAAGAATACAGAACGAAACAAAAATACATATATGTACACAGTTGGTCATCAATGCGGAATTTCGATCGAGATAATAAAAATTTAAACTCAATATTTAGAATGATTTCTACTACGTAAACTTTGATATAAGATGAGTTTTTCTTGATTATATTTTTATGTTTCTTTTTCTTTTTTCTTAATAAAAGAAAGGATTTTAATTAATTATATAAAATTTGATTGTAATATTCTTTAGATAATCTTCTTTGAACTTTTATTTAGAAATAAATTACATTGATAAATTTATTTCATAGTTTTTTGCTTATCAATCATTTATTTTGCTATTTATATTTCAAGGTTACTTTTCATTCTTTATTTAGAGATTAAAATAGATTTGATTCTCATATAAGCAAAAATAAAATAGAAGGAAAAAAAAAAAGGTAAAATGTCAATTAATTTCGTAATGGTTGTTTACGACCAACAACACGAATCAGACTTGCATTAGTTATACCATATCGTCTTAATTTTTCATGTCGTTTTTCATGTAAATTTTGTCCTTTGAACATAATATGTTGAGCATCTATTGGAATATTTAATTGTTTTTCTATATGTTGTTGAAGTTCTTCAACGCATGGATCATTGGAATTTGTTGGTAAAATCATTTCATATATATCACCACCATGTTGGACTTGAAGCTTAAGAAAATGCATTTTGTTTTACTCTAAAAAGTATAATACTTATTCTAATAAAACAAAAACAATTGAAAAATATTTGCAAAATGTTTTTACTATGAAGGTATTCATAATAGACATCAGATTTTTAGGAAATTTTTAATAGTATACATTCGATTTGATATTCTAACAATGAAATAATTTATGTTTACCAAAGAGAATAAAAGAAGAAGACATATGTTCGAGAAAGAAAATCTTAGTTTTCAATCGGACTACATCTGATCTACTTACGACTCTGGTCTAACTTATTCGGATCAGACTGATCATATTCTTGGAGATACTTTAGACTTTATTTTAGAAGTGATTTTAAGTTATTTTAAAAATTTTGCTCTCCTTTTCTTATGCACGAACTAGACAAATAATGTTAGATCCCTAGCCGAGGCGCTGGTGTTCAAAGCTCTATAAATCCGGATAGAAGATCAAAACACAAAAGTTGCTGATTTCATCTTTGGAGAATACTTTCAAGTATCTCTAATCGAAATAGTATTCTTAATTTAATTGTTCAATGATACGTTGCTTATTATTTGAAAAAAGATTGAATAAGACATATTTTAACTGACAACTTTATTCACATATTGGTATAGAAATGCAAAAAGTTCTATTACAAGTGCTATTATTGATATTTTTAGAGTATATTATAATTGAAAACGACTTGTGTAAATAAAAATCACTTTAAGTGCATTTCAAACTTATCGAAAATCAAAATAGAAACTTGCGATGAATTGTTTGAAAAATACTATGTATAATAAAGAAATGTTACAATAGATAGATTCGTTTTAATTTTTACGTAGAAAAAGTGTCTTCGTTTTGCATTGGGACAGTCAAGAATCGAATGTATACTACTCTTGTTTATGCAACGATATTTAAGGGCATTAAAGATGTGCAGGGGAAGCTTTGCTCGTATCGTATATTTTAATTAAGAAAAAATTTCTAATTATTACCCTACCCTATCGTGTTTGGTTGAGCAGAGCAACTCTGTACATCTCTAAAGAGTACCTTCTCTCTTTTTTGGTCATTTCTGGTTCCTAAAGAGGATGCAACTGATTCGTCTGAAGTTTTAACCACAGATAGAACACCGAAAGCAAGAAAAATTTTAAATAAATTTTTCAGTTTCTTTTGAAAAAACCCTGGTCTTCCATAGAGACGCACTTAACTCCATTATGACATGCATCAAACTTCATTCGATTGAGTTGAAATTTTTATCACAAATATTTGGATGATCTCTTCAGAAGAACAATCGGTTGTTTTCGTTTTTTATCTTCGTATCCGGATTTATAGTCTTCTAAACGCCAGCATCCCGTTTTTGAATCTGAACCTTTACGAAAAAGCTTAGCATCACCTCTGAGATATCGTCTAAAGTATTTTAACAGAGTTTTCCGCAAAAATCTTCTTGAAAATTTTTTTCCTAGAACGTATATCTCTTTATTTAAGATATTCTGTCGGTCATAAAAATTTCAAACCGATCACTTGTACCGATTTTGGAAACCAGGAATAGCCACTTAATCTTTGCATGCTATAATATATCGCTCATCCCTTGAAAAACTAAAAAAGATTTAATTAGAAAAATGTTCATAGTGAACAAGGACTTGCAAATAACATATGTCATATGCTACAAAACCGAAGATTCAAGAAGCCAATAAACCAAACGGATAATGATTACCAATTTCAGAAACCAGGAGTTGTGGGTATTTTTTGCATAAATTTTGATAAAGATAAAATAGAGGTATGTGGTTTTCATCATTTGAAAAAAGAGACCCAGATGTATCAATATGTGCTGAAATTCGATTAACCAGCATTGGATCAATCATATTAATTCTAGGTGAACAATGTAAAAAAAAATTTTCTAAAATCAGTTTTCAGCTCAACTTAATTGCTAATAAAATCAATTAATAGAGAAAAATTGTTCTCTTTCGGTCTGCGCAAGATCGGCATTGTTAGCTTTTTCTGTTCAAGAGTTTTATCGGTTTTCTTGTGGTTCTCAATTTCAGCGATTTGATATGAGATCATCAAGAAAAGCATCTAGACGAGAATAATTCGTCATGCTGAGTAGAATGCCAATATTTGTCATATGTAGGCTTATTATGGTACATAGGGCCAGATTATGAAACTTTGGAAATATTGAAATAACAGTGTCAAATTTTTTCAGTCTATCGTAGGTCAATTGATCAAAATTAAGGTTCTCAGAAGAAATCTCATAGCTCTTGAACGGAATAAACTAACAATGTCGATCTTGCATAGGTTAAAAGAACACAACTGTTTCTATCTACTGGTTATATTAACAATGAAAATGAATTGAAGAGTAGGTCCAAAATATTATTTTAAAATGTCCATCAAGAATAAATCTGATTAGAACACTGTTGGCAATTAAATTTTAGCATATATTTATCCACCGGACTTTTTTTTTTCTTTGTGATTGTGAAAGTTACAACTTTCTATTTTGTTCCTATCAAACGTTATTCAAAACATACACACATCTCTTCTTTTTTTGAAAAAAAAGTTGATAATAATTTCCTATAACTATCCACAAAATGAAAAAGATCGCATCTTTTCACCTACCTTTACTTGTAATGAAAATATTCAATATCCCTAATGAATTTCATTAATTTTCTCTTTAAAGTTTATGCAAAGAACGTCTTTTTTGATTGATTTCAAGCCTAGTCTATTTTCTTCTAACTACTTCTTTTGTTCTCGACTTTTTCTTCAAATGAAATTATTCAATGCTTCTGTTTACTTTATAAAATAACATTTGTCGTATCTACAACGTCTGTTTGTTTCACACCTTCAACATTTAAAAAAAGTGTCTTTTATTTTATTTACAAACTTGAGTTGAACATATAACACAGAAACGGAGAATTAAAAAACAACCCGAAGAGAAAAGCAATAGTTTTACGAAAAACAAAAAAGAAAAGGACGAACGAAAAAAAAAAATATTTTATTGTATATTTATTCCAAAATACATAATCTTCTCTCTTTGTTTCATATATATATATATATATTTAATTGAGCAAGAAAACAAAATGGTACTAGAAAATCTAAAACAAGAAGAAAAAGAGAAAAAACACGAATCATTATAGAACAAACGGTGGAGTTTGATCTTCCAATTTGTTTTTAGCAGCAGATTGAACAATACGATCATATCGTTGTGTTTGTTGAAAATCAATATCTGCATAAAGTTTTGCTGATGTTCGTTCATTATTTTCAAAATCTTGTTCTTCATAAGCATCATTTTCGTTCATAATAATATCATCCGAATTATTTATTTGTTGTTGCTGTTGCTGTTGCTGTTGCTGTTGTTGTTGTTCATTACTATCCGAATATTCATTTGTTACATGTGATGGTAAAAGTAAATCAGCATAATTTATAGATACTTCGGATTGTGGTAATGAACTATTTGAATTAATTACTAATGTTGATTTTGATGAAGTATCTTGTATTGATGGTTCAACTAATGCATATGGATCATTTGATGAAGTTTTTTCTTCATCAATATGTGATAATTGTTGACGTGACATAGATGTTGCTAAATTAAACGATGATAAATGTGTTTGTATTGTATCATTATTTGAATTTTGTGGTGGTCCAAGTAAATATGTTGTTATTTGATCATTACCATGATCATCAAACAATAAAATTGAACCATGTGGTGTTCGCATTTGAGATGATGTTGTATCACCAATACTATTTGCTGATAGAGATAATGTATGAAATATATGTGCACTTGATGATGATGATATTGTATCAATTGGATGCATAGTTGATCCATATTGCTGCTGTTGAGACATTGATCTAAGACTTAAATCTGAATTGAGACGATGATCAAGTGTTACACTATCTGATAATGGACTTGTTGCAAGTTCAGTTTGATCATTTGTTAAAAAATCATTATTATTAAATGTAACAATACCATAGGAGAGTAATAGTGATTTATGAGAATTTGATACGGAATTTGTTTGTTGGAGAGAACTTAAAAACAAAACGAAAAATTTTGATTTTAATAGAAAAAAAAATCGGAAACAAACTTTGAACTATCTGGCGATGATGTTATTAAATCAGATGAAGTACCTATAAAATCAAAACAAAAAAAAAAAAGAATAACAGATCACGTAAGCAGAGTACTAAACTCGATGAAATTTTTACAAAATATTTTTCTCTGTCTAACACTTCTATTCAATTAGTATAAAGATATATAAATAGTGCTGGATTGAGATAAAGATTTTTCGCGTTTTCTGTTTGTCTTAGAAATACTTTACGAGAAGAATAAGAATATATTTGGAATCAGAACAAAACGCAGCATTGAACAACGCGAAATTTATTCATTTTTTAAATAAAAAGTTTTTCGACAATAATTTAAGGTAAGAGATCATCTCATGTATTTTGTATCGAAAATGGTCATATGCGAATTTTACTTTTTTCTCATTAACTATTTGGTTGACTGTATCTTGACTACCATACATTCTCTAGGTTGTGTTCACTAGGAATTGTAGATCTGATAAGGGAAAGTTTTCAACTAATCAATCTCTTTCTCATCAAAATCTATAGAATTATGGATTATCGACCATGGTGATTCTAAATATAATCATGAAATAGGGCATATCGAATTATCTATAAGTCAATAATCTGTTCTACTTTCCAAAAATGAATTTTTCAGAAAAATAATATCATCTTGAAGGTTTTCACATTAAATTAGTTTTATACATGAGTTGTATGATGCTCCATCACCCGAACAGATCATAGGAAGTTTTTAGTGAAATGTTTATTAGTCTAGAAAAGCAATATATGCAAACCTAAAGGATCTTCTCATGGTCATATTCAGAATCAACATAGTCGATATCCTATAATTCTATAGCTTTCGTTTAAACAAGAATAGACGTTCTTTATTATAATTCTCGTTGTATTTAACCTACCGGAACGACACAATCGTTCCGAACTAAAAATTTACTATTGTATGCTCACAAAAATTTTCAGCCCTTCAGCATGTATAGTAGCCGAAATACAGAAAAGGTGAGAGACTTTTGTTCACTATTATGATAAAGAATAATACATACCATAACCATTAGCTATAGTTTGACCGGTTAATTGTGTTTTAAATGGTTGCATAACACTAGCAGGTGAAGTAAATGAACGTTGACCAATAGGAAAAAGATTATGGTCTAGAATAATTTAAATAGATTAAAAGATTTTGTTTTCAATATTTTTTTTATACCATCAGCTATTAAATGAACTGAATTTCCAACTATAATTGCTGAACGAACATGAGGCGATAGAGTAATAGTAGCTAAAATAGAGAAATAAAATATTTCGAATGAAAATTTTTATTTTTAAAATTGATTATTAACAAGATTAGATTTGTTTAAGACTTTCGAATGACATTTGCTTTAAATATATTTTAACTGTAAGTAAACTTCTATGATATTTAAGATATGTGTTTTTTTTTTAAAACTCAGTTTCAGATATTTTTCTTGTTCCTGTTGTACGGCTATGGTAAAAGTTTATCTTTTATATTGCTTATATACACTGATATATTCAATGTTCTTATTTCAGAGTAAGAATAAATCAAAAGATTTGAAGTTTTTACACTAAATTATTTTCGTTATAGTCAAGTTCTGTGTAAAATTTCAAGTCTAAATTCAAAAATCACTTTTTTTGATATTTCTAAAGGGTACGACGACTTTGATTTAAAAAAATACCATAAAAATGCAGTATTTGTACACCAATAAATTAAAAGCTCATTTTGTTTCTTCAAGTTATTCATAAATCATGATGGTCTATATCACGCACATAGTCTAGACTCGAAAGCAATTAATCCATTGAAGAGCTTCCTTCGTAAGTCATACAATAATCAACAAGTTAAAAACGATGAATTAACTCAAAAGGGGTTCAGACTAAATTTTAACTAATAGTTATTTTCTTTTCAATTTGCATTGTCTTACAAGTGCAAAAAAAAAAACTGTTGCAATCAAAGCATTTTTATGTATTCATCAGCTAATTAAAATCAGTTTGAAAAGTTACAAATTAAACCAGTCGGACTGATTACATCTGTCATAGATAATTGATTGAAGAAAGCACAAATCTTGTTTTTTTCAACTTACTATTAACACCAATATCAGCGGTTGCTGTTGTTTCTTTTGTAATAACTTCATCTTGAGTTTCTTGTTGTTGATGTTGATTTGAATGTGGCATGGCTAAACCCATATCAATATATGTTCCCATTGTTGTTTCTTGTTTATTCGTATTAATTGTTGATGTTGATGTTAACATTGTTTCACTAGTTCGTTTTGTCATTGTTGATGAAACACTTAATGTTGAATCAGTATTTTTTTGATAATCAGGTAAAATAATTTGATGTTGATCATTCTGAAGATTTTTTTCATCAATATTAAATGCAACAGATTTATTTTTCAAGAATAAATTATTATCTGTTGTTAATAATTGTTCATTATTATTATTGTTACTATGAAATGTCGCTGATCGTCTTAAATTAGAAACATTTTTTGTTAATGCACGAAAAAATCCAATAAGTAAATGTGATTTAATTTCATTTGTTTTTGTTGATGTTGTATTTGAATTAGTATCTGTTGTTTCAATTGTTTTCTTATTTTTAATAAATGATAATGATGAATCTAATATCGATTGATTATTTGTATCATTATTAAGTTGTATAGGTGGATGAATATTTTTAGATTTTTCAATACGTTTATTAGTTAATAATTGATTTTGAAATGCTGATGAAAGTACTAATGGACGTTCTTCAATAACAGGACTAACTAATAAATGTATTGTACCTGCTAATGATGATGAATGACATTTCATATGTATTTCACCATTACCATAATTTGACTTGCCTAATTCAATAAGAAATATATTTGAACGATTACCATAATTTTTTATTGTAAAATAAGGTATACATAAAATAGCTTTATCGTTTGATGGACATTGATTTGTAATTGTAATTTTTAAATCAGTTCGATTACAATGTATTGATGCTATATAAAGATCTGTTGTTGTAAAATAAAGACGTGCTGGACCAATTAATACATGATCACGATTTATAATTGTACCATATGGAATTAAATTAACATCGAATGTATGTGAAATATTTTCTGTTGTTGATGGACATGGTAAAACAGATGTTTGCTGTTGTGATGGTTGCATTATTGTTGTTGATGACGATTGAGATAGTGTTGGATCTTGTGAAGAATTTGTATTTAATGTTGATGATTTTTCTGCTTTACTTTGGGACATATATTCAAGATGTTTAATAATTAAAGATTTTTTATCAAGATTATCATCAGAAAAAAATATTGATATTGTATAAGATTCAAAATAAGCATAAATAAATGAATTAAAATCATTTTTAACTGCATCAAAATATTCAAATGATATACAGTCATTTAATGGATATGATAATGATTGTGATGAAGCATTAGATTTTGGAGTTATTTCAATACATGGTTCTTCATTTGTTGATGATAATGAACGACTTTCAATAAATGTTAAATATATATGACGTTTGGTTTTCTAGAATAAATTTTTAATTTGTTTTAAGTTTCTTTTTAAAACATTTCGTATCAGATTTTTTAAATTGAAAAAAAAATGAATATCACAAATTTGAATACAAGTTAGAATTATTATTTAGAAAAAAAATTTCTCTCTCAATCTATAGAAAATCCAATAGCTATCGCAACTATACTTGAATATGTAAACTAAGATTATTCTCGTTAGGAGCAATCAATACTACGATGGATATGGAGTTTGTACTAGTAGTACATGAGCATTTATTTGTTGTTAACAGAGCTGAGCAAGCACGTACTCGTACTCGAGAAAACCTAGATCTAGTCATTAATGATCAGAGATACATTAAAGTTGATGCAAATTGTCGCAATTTTCATCTGATGAGAATATTCGATGTAAATAATTTATAAGAATAATGTGAGTGCTCTGATTGACTAATCATTTCATAGTTTTATCATATTTTCACGTTATAATAAGTACAAAAGTTTCTGAACACATTTTGAATCAGAAACTGATGGAATTGTCTTACATCATTGTCGGGATCTACACCCTTCATACTCCTCAGTCCTTTTGGCTTATCAACACACTTTAGAAAGATTAATTTGCTTCTTCTGTTGCCTTGCAGCACTTCTCAAGCATTGTGATTACATACTATGCGCTCTACCAAGTTTTGTGAGATGTTAGCATAGGCATTAGCTGTGACACAAGATCAGATTTAATTAAAATGATGCATTTTTTAATGTAATTGTATTGTTGCTTATACTTAGGGTATAGTAAAATTAATGACACGAGCATTGTTACACTGTATAGAAATTTTTAGATGAATTTCTTTTTATATTTATTCATACCGCAAATAATAATCTATATTTCTTCCGTTCCTATGATAATAATAAAAGTTTGATGAAACCTTGTCACCTTGGTTTCAAATGAATACGGAAAACTATTGCTTCTTTATGAAAGTATATATTACACTTCCTATTCAACTAAAAGCTATTCATTCGTAGTTATGTTTTGTTGTCTATGATTAGGTTTTTACTTCTTAAAGAAAGTTGAAAGACAATCGAAAAGAGATTAAAGATGAACTACGATCTAATTAGATATATGCTGGACCAAAACTTGAAGGTTTGTTGGAAGTAGATCAGGAATACGAAACAAAAAATTGTCCCTCTTTCAACTAAAGATTATCGGTAAATTCTCCGTAGTTTTAAGAGATTTATCTTATAAATCATATGAATAAGAACATAATTGAAGAGATGTGACTCAAAAAACGTGCTAGTGATCGATTAAGTCAATCGACAAACAAGTATTGAAGAATTATTTTAGACTTGATATGAATAAATTCTGAGATAATTGTCTTCAGACTGAAACTCGAAAAGCTGAAATACTAGAGACCAGATTAAATTTATTGAAGCCATAACCGGAACCAGAATAAAAAAACAATTTGTTCTGCAAATCTCTAAACATGCTAAGTCTATCATTGAGACAATATCTGAAAATCTTGAACGAGATTCATTGCCTTATTAATGACAATCTTTGTATTACTATTGATGAATTGAGATTACAAACGGATCTGAATCATAATTAAACAACAACGAAATATAGAGCATTATTTCAAGTGTCAGTATATATAAAGAAGAATCGTCTTCGAGTTATCTGTACTCTGATCACCCCTAAGAATGACTTCGATGCAAATCTCTAATCATTGCTTTTGGCCTACTGTAATGAGAAAAACTTTCCAAATGATATATCGCTTTCGAGGTTAGACTGTATTCCATCGATAGGATTTAGTAAGTTGAGAAATACTCTAGAGTGATTCGAGCTGCTGAACCTCTCTATTGGTAAGATTTCGAATTTTTAATAGATTTTTCCTGCCGAGTTTGCCAAGAAAATTCCACTAAAAATTCGATATGTCAGCAACCAAATGTCCAGTAGTTCAAACCACTCTATGGTATTTACCTACTAACCATATCTTATCGATTGAATAAAATCCTAGTTGAAAAGTGATTTATTACTTGAGAATCTTCCCTCATAAGTATCTCGTTAGCATAAAGAAATATGAGAGTGATGAATACAAGAAAATCAAAATGATATTTAAACAAACCTTTTTTCTTTGAATACAAATAAGTTTAATATCACTTAATGTTTGTGATGTATTATTACTTGTTGTTGGATCAATTCCAGTGTTTGTTGTTGTTGTTGTTGTTGCTGTAGTTGTTGTAGCAGCAACAATATATGACGGTGGATGATTATTATTTAATGTTGACGAAGTTGCAACAAACATTTTTCATCGATGACTATTTATCAGTAATTTCTGATGCATGATCTCTAGAATAAAACCAAAATGCATTCAATATTATCTATTCTGATATAGTTCTTTCGTTTTCTTCTATACACAAAGCACCAGAATAGATATCTGAATGATAAATAAATACATAAAAACGAAAAAAGAAAAATATAAAATTGTTCAATTCTTCGTATAATTAATTGCGTTATTGTTTTCATTTGTTATTGTATCAAATTCATTTTGATTTTCATGTATATCATTATTATTATCATATTGTATTTGTGAAGATTGTTGAATAGACATTGAAGATGGTGTTAATTGATAATCATGAGGTGTTGATGGTGTTTGAGGAGTTTCAGGTGGTGATAAATTTGTTGATGTTTGATGTTTATAAAGTGCCATTTCAGTTTGATAAACATGTTTCTTTTCAGATGCAGCTTTCTCGTATTTTAATTTTAATTCAGCAGTTGTTTGTTTCCATCGAATACCAAGCTCACGTGCTACGTCACTAACTGACAAACCTGTTTATACAAAAAAGTAAATAGGTTATTGATAACGATTATTCACGAATAATATTTATATTCCTGAATATTTTTAAAACACATAGGAAAATGTTTTTGGCATAATAATCAAAAATTTTTTCACGGCAAAAAAAGTACTGTATTAATTTACAATTTTACTTTTGAAATACTAATATTATTGAATAGTTTTAAAATCATTAGACATCGTTCTTTTGAACTTTTATTGTTAGCTATATGTGCTCAACTACATCATGTTTAATCATTCTATATACAATGATAAAATAAAATATAACAGTTGGATAGACTGATTTAATGAGCTCATGTGGACACTTATTTAAATAAATCTCAAACATTTTTTAATCATAAAAGTAAAAATAATAAAAAAAAAATTTTTTTTCGTGATCTTTCCATGCATTTTTAATTCATTTTTATTTCTTTTAGTTTTTTTCTTATTCTTAAAATAATTGAATGTCGATATAACCTAAAAAAACAGTATACTATCAATAAATTGAATCTCAAGCTTTCACACAATCAGAAGAATCATAAAAAATGTTTGCAGTTGGAAGGAAAGAAAAAAAAGAACATTACTCACATGTGATTTTGTACTCAAAACACAAAGCAAAAAAACATAGACCAGATTGACATTGATGAATGAAACGAAGTTTAAAAACAACTGAAGGTTTCTCTTAATGATGTTTCAATAGATTATTTATTAATGACTGATTCTCTTATTAGTTTTTCATTTGAATAGATATTATTTAAATTTTTCATTATTCTTTAACATATACTAAATAAATAGATTGAATCATTAAATATTAATTTCTTCTTTAAATCTTGTATTTATTAATTGAAAAATCTAATAAGATTTTCAGACTTATGAATAGATATTATCATCTAATGAATGCAGATGATTATAAGAAAAAAAAAATAGAGATTTTTCAAATTGAATACATAATTATCATATATTGACATTATATATTTAAGTAAATATAAACTTTTGAGAAAGGAATTTTTTTTTCAAGTCAAAGAGTGGTTCTTCAATCATTATGTTATACTTTAAATATTAGAAACATCTAGTTTATCTATTTAATTTATCGCAATCAAGATCGAAGCCATCTAAGTTCCTGTCGTCATTAGTATAACAATTACAGAACTCGTCACTGACTTCGTTATATCATCTATTTACTGCTAATTATCAAAAGAATGCAAAGAAATAAAGAGTACAAACCTTTTTATATCACTCTAAATGAAAAAGTAAAAGAGGTTTGTTGAATAAACGTGTAGGTATACCTGTATTTCATAGTGAACGAGAAAAGATAAATATTTTTCAAAAACAACAACATTGTCAATCGATCAATAAAAACAATAACATATATATATATATATAAGCGCAATGAATAGTGACAATGTTGGAGAAGGACAATACATAAGAAGAAAATAGAAAATCATTATATAACTGTACAATAGTAGAAAAAATAAAGAATATTTGAAAAGAATCTATCGTAAAAGATCTCTAATGTGGGTACCATTGGACTAGTTACAATCGTTTTTCGATTGTACAGGGTGATCATTTGCTTTTAGTCTATCTCCCTCTTACATACGTGTCATGATTGTTTGTCATAATACAATACACATGATATTATTTTTTCCTTGTTCTGTATATCAGTAATAGAACATTTGTTGTTCACATTACAGAGGTTGTTATGGTTCATGGGACGAGAGATAAACGCCCACTGCTCAGAATAAGGAGATGCTCATACTAGAGAGGCTTACTCTCAGCAAAATTCGCTCAGGTGGATTATTTACTGTTCAGTATGGTTGAAACATTTCAGTGTATATGATAGAAAGAAAAAAAAAGCTAAGTATGAATTAATAAATAGAATCATCTATCATCTATATGGTCTTGTAAATCTAACAATTTAATTTTAACACAATAGTTTTCTACTGAAAAATAAATGTGATAATGTATGTCCTACTGTCGTCAAAGCATTAAACTTCACAAAAAGAGAATGAATTATATTTCATCAGACAAATATAAATGACTCTTGAATTGTCATAGGCTGTTTACTAGCATGTGTATCACTTACTTTCCGTTTATAATTTGAAAGAAGAAAAATGAGTAAATGAGTAGTCATTATGACAATTAATGTATTTGTTAGAATAAAATTCCAACAAATTTTCCACATGTTATATAACACTACGTACGATTAATTATTAGAAAGGTTGACATTCTCGCATGAAAAAATACGTAAATCCTACATATCCAAATATTTACATTGCGATTGATTTATTTCAAAAAGAACCATTGTTAGCATCGATTATAAGAGCACAAGATGACATGAAGAGTTTACCTCCAAAACACCGGAAAAATAATGACATAACAGATGAATGTTTAATGAAATCTTGTGGCAAAGTTATGATGAAGATCATATGGATATTGCAGTGTTCTCGAAAGTTAATAGACTGAAATATTTTTAATATTCATCAAAACTGTTAAAAAGTTATCTCGATTTGTTTTTTGTTTTGACAATACATTGGTTGTCACAATGACTACTCATTTCTCTTCTTCCTAGTAATCAATGGAAAGTAAATCGTGTATAGACTGTTCACAACTATCTCTATTACGAATTTTAGTTTCGAAAATGTAAATGATTTCCAAGAATATAATCTCTGGAAAACTGAAACTGAAGATTTTTTTTTATCTCATGAAATTCCCTACAAAATGAAACATCTTCCAGATCTCTACGACTTTTTTTAACCGAGGCACATCAATCTTATGAAACGTACTAAAATGACATTTTTATAAAAAAAAAAAAAAAAAACAACAGAAAAAACGACTGTTGTGCCTTGGGAAAGATTGATGTATCTCGATTAAAAATCATCGTAGATAGCTCGAAGAAATTTCATTTTGTAGAGAATTGTCTGCTCTATTATTCTAAATACTTCTTAGAGCTGAAAATCTTGGATTGTGGTTTTTCATAGATATTATTCTTAGAAAACTACTAATCATTTCCATCTTTGAAAAACAAAATTCTCTACACAAATTACTATTTGAATTCTTATTATAGTTTATAGCAGTGAAAAAACATTTTGTTGAATCATTTTGAGAAATATTTTATATTCAAGTTGACTTTAAAATTATTATGTGCTAATCTAGAACAAAAAGTTTTCTGTGGGGATTTAACTTGAGTATGGATATTTTTATAATTAAAAGGGGACTAGAGAGAGCTGAGTCCTCCATTCTCTCACCGTAGCGTCGAATTATGATAAGCGTTCTATTGTCAAAATCTTGCCTATGCCACTATTACACACATTCGAATTAAATCTACATAGAAAAATTTTAACCAGTGGACTTTTAAGGGTCAACTTCAACACGTATATATAAAATAATGTTAATTTATTAGAAGTTTCTTTGCTTTTACTTGAGAACATATTATTTACCTGTTTGTAAACTGATAATTTTAGGTCGTTCATCAGCACAAAAAAGAAAATAAGCTGATAAAGGTTTTTTGGGTGCATGAGGATCTTTTGGTGTTCGTTTACGTTTTTTTATTAATTTTTTTTGTATATTAACAATTGTATGTTGTTGTATTGGTTCAATAAAATATTGTGTTGATGATGTTTGATGTAATATTGACGATGTTTGTAATTCTTGTTGTTGCTGTTGTTTAATTAATTGTTCTTGCTGATAGACAGCAAGTTCTTCTTTATAACGTTTACGTTGTAAATCAACAATATCATTAAAACGTTTTTTTTCATTATCATTCATCGATTTCCAACGATCGGAACATTTTCTAGCAATAACATTATAATCAACAGTTAAATGAGGATATTTTCGACGTAATTCATCACGACAAGTCCGAACAAATAATGCATAAGCCGTTATTGGACCACGAGGTTTGTTTGTATCGGTAGGTTTCTTTGGCATAATTATGAATAAAAAAGATTTAAGAGAAAAAAAACAAGAGAAAATAATATTTACATTTATAATTAAATGTAGAGCGATTGTTTTTTAAGAATGAATAATGTTTTTCTTCTTGTTCTGTTTCTTTGTAAAGAAAAAAAAAAGTGTATAAACAACAATTGAATTATTCACATGTGAAGAACGATACGGATTCGTCGAATAAAAATGAGTGTGTTACAATCAACGTCAATAACATATTTGACAGGAGGTTCGAAAGAAGTTTTTTATTGGTTGGATTATATGGTTTGTTATTGGGTTGAGCAGTATCACGCAAGGTGAAAAGATAAAAAAACAAAACAAAACAAGATTTTAATTTATTTTTATGACATAAAATGTCGAACTCTTTAGTGCTAAAACCACGTCATAGTGAAACGGAAAACTTGATAGAGTCACCAGATGTTGCAACAATAAATGATACATCAGTTTCGGAAAATACTAATTATCCTATTTTATTAAAATCGAATGACCTTACAAGTTCAATAACGTCTCACGTTGATGAAAACAATGAAAATGAAGCTGTATGTGAAAATATTATTTTGATCTTGGGATTTATTTAAAAAAAAAATATAGAATTATAAATAACAAAAAAATGTTTCTAACGTTCTCTTAATATACAAAATTGAAATTTATTACAAATTTCTAAGGAATGTACTTGATGTAAATGTTTGCACCAAGTACATTCATTTGAGTTGATGTTTCATCTTTATCTTAATATGATTATCTCGTCTTACTTCTTCAGTATTGTATGTAGCTCTTTTCATTTAAATTATTTATACTCAACGAATAATTTATTTTTGCTATTGTCTATTCTAAATATTGAAAAATATGGCATACGAGAAAAAATAAATATTTAGTCGTGTTTTTTATTTTTGATGATGAATTTTCATTATTTAAGTCTGTTTAGGCAATGAGAATGATCAGTTGTTTTTATATCATTAATTAATCTTAGAATAATAATACGAAAAACAAGACTATTGAGCAAATTTCTACTAATTTAGTAGTGCTTTGAAAATACATTTTTATTTTATGAACGATTTTTAAACTTTAACGATGATATATTTAGGTTGCACCACTTGTCGCTTCATTTACCGGCGATCCAACTGAACATCGAACAACGTAAATAAACTCAAATTATATCAAGTTCAAAGATGATAATATTTGATTTTTTCTTTTATGTAGAAATACTGAAACATTAATGCATTTAATTAAAGGCAACGTAGGTGCTGGTATTCTTGCTTTTCCTTATGCATTATCAAAAGCTGGATTAGTTGTATGTTTTAGTTATTATAATATTTTCTTTAATTAATTAATCTTTTTTTTTTCCTATAGTTTGGTTCGATCGCTTTTTGGATAATGGGTGCAATGACACTTTATTGCATGTATCAATTACTTCGATGTCATGAATATTATCGATATCGGTTAATATTTAAAATCAAAATTTATTCAAAAAATAAATAAAAATAAAAAGATTATTTCTTTTTGTAGTACATCAAGATCTAAATGTGATTTTGGTGATATTATGCGATATACATTAGAAACATGTCATTGGCGATTTGCTCGACGTTATGCAAAATTAGGAAAGTAATTAAATACATAGTTTTTTTTATATTATATAAAATTAAAAATATTTATTCTTTAATTAGATTTGTTATTGATGGTTTTATTGTTTTAATTCAACTTGGTTTTTGTTGTGTTTATTTTGTTTTTGTACCAGCAAGTATAAAACAAGTTATTGATTATTATACAATACATAGTCCAGTAATACAAATTTATCAATTAATTATGCTTGTACTTATTATTGGATTTTCAATGATAAGAAGTTTAAAAGTTCTTGCACCATTTTCACTTGCTGCTAATGTAATTACTATTGGAGGTAAAGCAAAAATGAAGAAATGAAAACAAAAAAAAATGTCATTAGAGACTAGCGAGGAAAGTTCTTCAACTGATAAATCGTTTTTGAGTCGGAACTAGGATCGGAATCCGAGACTATATAATATTCTTAACTCTGTGACTTCTCCAGTGAACTTTTTCGTATATCATAAATCAATTGGTTATTTTAATGCTTATATCTTGTAATACAAAAAACAAAAAATAAACAGCTTGATCATTATTAACAGTAAAATATGTGTTCCTCATTGTCTCATTTCATTTATTTATCTTGTTCACTGGATATTACTTCGTCATCTTTAGACAATCGTCCTATTTTTTTGTTTTGTTTGTGAATATGATTATAAAAACATGATCTTATCTATTTTTTCAATAACTGTTGTACTTGAGTAGACATGCGTGGGACTACTAGTCCCGATCGTCGGGACCAGAAACATATTAAATTCACTTTATGTATTATGCAGACTCAAATGAACTATGAATATTCTGCAAAACAGTTCATACCATTAGTTTATTGCAGCAGAGATACTACATTTTCACAGTATTTTTGAAATAAATGCTATGATCCCTCTCAGGAACACCAGAAAAACTGATTTTCAACATAATGTACATAGTACCTATTCAAAGTCGATATGTCCGCTGGAGGACTTCTCTCGTAAAAAAAACGTATAGTTGTTTATTAATATAGGATTATGTATTATTATGCAGTATGTCGTACGTTCACATTTACCACTTAATGAATTACCATTAATAACAAAAGCGTCAGATTGGCCGGTATTCTTTGCATCGGCGATGTATGTATTCGAAGGCATTGCTTTAGTATGTTATTATAAAATGATTAAGAATGAAGGAGAGAAAAAAAAAGGCAGAGAAATTTTATTTCTTTAGGTTTTACCAGTTCGACAAAAAATGAAAGAACCTGAAGCTTATCATGGTTGGAATGGAGTATTAAATACAGGAATTTATCTTGTAACAATATTATATTTTTTTGTTGGATTTTTTGGATATATTCGATATGGTTCAAATGCACTCGGTTCGATTAGTTTAAATTTACCAAATGACAATAAGTATCGGATAAATTTTTTTATATATTGTTTTTATTATGTTTATATAGATTATATCAATTTACAAAAATCATGTATGCTATAGCTGTATTTTTGACATATAATCTTCAATTTTATGTGCCATTTACACTTCTTTGGCCACGTATTTCTCGTAAAATTCTTCATAAATATAATGATAGAACACAAGCAAAGTTTGAACATGCTTTTCGAATTGGACTTATTATTATAACTTGTAAGTTGAATGAAACAAATTTTAATGGTGTTCTAAATAAGAAAAGCGAGTTATTATTCTAGACTTGAAATAATTTCAATATGTTGCTGGTTATTGCTTTGATCTATCGTTATAGAATAAAGACTATGAAAGGAAAGTTTTATGAAATCAATCGTAAAAGATCTAAATTATTTTTGACACACTAATCGCATTTTCTCAGTCTATTAATCTAAATAATTGAAAATGATTTGCTATTTTTTTTCGTATATAATGAATAGATTTATTTCAAAATCGCGGTTATTTAATGTCAAAACAGGGAAAATAACATTACAAGATAGTTTTCATATGTAACTGTCTAAGAAATTCTTCTTTTATTTTATCAATAGTAGAATTATGCGAATTTACTTTCATATCATGACTTTTGTAATACTCCGTATGTGTTTAAATATAACGATTTTGCATGAAACATTTTCTTTTTCTAAATATTCCTAGCGGAATCTTTTTCTTGAAACATGAAAACCTGAGAAGGTGTTAGATATTTGGAAAATTGCCCAAGCATTTCTTGAGATATATGTATTGACGACGAAGCCATGAGACTTCGATAGACTGAAGTCTACCTTAGATTCAAGTATCATAGGCTTAAACATTTGCTTCTCATTTCGTAGATTAATGCAGTGCAATGAAATTCTTGTACAACCATCAAATCTTTTTGTAATGAAACAGACTTAGGAGGAAACATGGAATTTAGCATAATTAGATGTTTGGTCTTACATCACCTATGACTCGAAATAGTATTCTTTCTGTATAAGTGAAGCAGAACTGTATGAGAACAGACTCAAATGAGCATTAAATACTCTGAAAAGAGTTCCTGTCCTTAGCTTATTGGTACGAAGATACTGCATATTTACAATATTTTTTACATAAATGCCGTGCTTCCATGAATGGATAAATAGATTCGCTGCCTCCCCCCTCTCCTCCCTTCGTACACTGTTAACTTTTCGATGAAGATTTTGTAAAAGTTGTTGAGCTTACTCTAGATTTAAAACATTTTGTCGACTATGGAAGTACTCTAACTTAATTAAATATGACCGAACCCGAACATTTAAGTGCGGTACATGCCTATTAGCAAAGCATTATGATAAGGATGATTATTTGCACACTTTCTTTTGTAGAAGTAAAGTGATTGTTGTTCTTTTTGAATTTTAGTTACTATTGCTGCATTAATTCCAAATCTTGGTCTAGTCATTTCATTAGGTATTGTCCTTTTTACCCTATTTAAACAAAAAGAAACCAATAATTTTGTTTTTTTGGTTAATTAAGTCGGTGCTGTAGCATCAACAGCATTGTCAGTGATATTTCCTCCTATATGTGAAACGATAACATTTTGGCCAAATAATCTTGGCCGATTTAAATGGCAATTAATATTAAATTTATTCATAATAGTATTCGGTTTGTATGTATTTATTGCTGGTACATCACTTAGTTTATCAAATATAATTGCTTGTATTCGTGAAGGTGCTCGTTGTGATGATTAATTTATTCAGATATTATTATTATTCAAGCTTTTTTTGATTTGTTACTTTATAATTTTATTTTTATTTTTTATTAAATGAAACATTTCTCTTTTCTTGACAAGGTGCAATAAATAAAAACATTTTTTTATCGAATAAAAAAGTAATATTTAATTCTTGTTGTGTTATTTTTTTTCTAGATAGTTTTAAATATGGCTAGTTGGTTCACATCAACTATTCAATCAGTTCGCGATAAAGTAAGAAAAATTCTATTAGACGACAAAAAAGAAAAGACAAGGAAATGTTTTATTGATTTTTTTTAATTTTTGTAGTCGATTGATGCATTGGATTTTGTACGTAGAGATTTAGCGGAATTTACTACAACAGTTAAAAGTGATACAGAATCTTATTTGAATAAAATTAAAAGTCAAGATGTAAGATTTTAAAACATGGATCGAATTTTTCTATTAAATGAAATTTAATAATTTAGGTTGGAGATCTTGGTATTAATCGATTTGTATCAAAATTAAGTGGTGATGCTGGTAAAATGGGTAATGATAATGGAAAACATATACAAGCAACACCATCATTCGATCGAATTCATGTAAAAATACTTTTTTTTTTTATAGACTAATCAAAACGAAAAAAAAATTAGAGGAAATTATTTCTTGAAGTATACAGATTATTATTTACAGAATAGAAGAATATCTAACGATTGTAATACGTTCTTCTAGACAATTGAATCGTGAATGTTTTTTTTTAAAAAGACTAATGCATGGCGATATTGAGAAAATACTTTGAGGAACATCCATTCTATGTTTTTTCAAGATCTCGGCGACTTACTAAATTATGATAAAATCTGATTGATTTGTATTTCAGATTTTCATCATCAAAAATTTTATTTTAATATATAACTTCTCAAAACAGTGTACACAAAACTAACACAGAAAAAGCATAGTCTAGAATATTATTTTAACACTATGTTAAAATAATTGTTCATTATATTATAAAGATTAGAAATATAGAAATTAAATATCAGAAAAAAAGAAATCAATGATGTAAAACATGAATAATTTCTAATTTTAATTTAGAATGAATTAGCTCGATTACAAAATGATGAATCAACATATTTAGCTGATCCGACGCCCAACGAAGCCTATGACATATGGCGTCAAACAACAAATTTTAATGTTGATACACGTAAAGGAGATATCGCTCAATTATTAATTGACGCTCCACATGTTCGTTCATTTTACGCACGTCTTGTGCCAGCACATACAACACATATTGATTTTTGGTCTCGATATTATTATCGATTGCATCTCATTGAGGAAGAAGAAGCACGACGTACACAATTATTACGACGTGCACATGAAATTTGTTCAGAAAATAGTGATAATGTTGGAAAAAATAATGAAAACGATTGGGATGAACCTGGTAAAAATTATTTAAATATATCGAATGTGGCAAAAAGTTTCACGACATTCTGTGTTTTGCAATGTAACTCTGTTCAGTTTCGATAGATCACTAACACAACATGTGTGTCATCGTGTTCTTTCTCATAGGGCAAAATCGGAAAAGTTCATTTTAGTCCAGTGAATGTTCAATAAAAAAAATCGACTGTCTCAGTCGCTGTAATAAATAAAAAAAGGTTCATAATTTCACCAATATCCTCCTGCGAGATCAGTACTGATTTCGTCTCAGGGTATTTTCGTCATCTTCAGTTGAAGCCAAGCTCTCATTGTATTAATTTATTAAGCTTAATTCTGTTTTACTGGTTCTTTCAACTTCCAGTAAATTTAATCTAGCGATCTATACATCGAGCTTACTGCTTGTAGACGATTTATTTGAGAGAAACACAGCAAAAAAAAGTTTATTTCAGTAGGAAGCAGCTAGATCAATTGATATGAATGTTATTATGTTTCACTTGTGTTTGAAATGAGGATGAATAATAATTCTCATGTTTTGAATATCACACTATGTCTCTCTGATGTGCTTCAAACATTATAGCCAAAATGAATGAACAATATATTATGACACACATGTTCAGTGTTAACTCAATTAAAATCTCAAAAATAGCTATAAAGATTTGATCGTGTGATCCAAGTAGAACATTCAATGGTGAATCTTTTGAGAAAAAAAGATCAATATTTTATTTATGTTTCTGAATAGTTACATGCAAAACTTTTGCCATATTCCGGTATATTTTATGATTTTTCTAATTTGTTCATTTGTAGATGATGATTGGTCAAAAGAACCATCGAATATAATTCAAGAATCAATATTAGAAATTCCTCCTGTTGAACAACAAGAATTAACAAAAGAAATTCCTTCTGTGGAACAACAAGAATTAACAAAAGAAATTCCTTCTGTGGAACAACAAGAATTAACAAAAGAAATTCCTTCTGTGGAACAACAAGAATTAACAAAAGAAATGCTTTCTGTGGAACAACAAGAATCCATAGCAGTAACAACAAATTCAGAAGACACAAATACTCAACGAACAGAAAGTGATACAGGTAATAAAAAAAGAGATTTATATAAAATAAAACTATAAGGATGCAAACTATTATTGTAGTTTCAGGCGATAGTTGGGAACGTGAATTTGATGAAACAGATCTTAATTCATCATCTGTACCATTAAAATCTCTTGAAGATCCATTAACAAAATCCGAAGAAACGATTACTTCTGAAAGTTTATCATCATCAACAATAGCAACAACAACAGCAGCATTACCTTCATCATCGAATAAAAAAGCGGGAAACGAATTTGATGATGAATGGGAATCATGGGCATAAGTTACTTAATCATTCTGCTATATTGTATATATATACATAGAAACATAGAGTGGCTATCGAAAATTGTTTAACAAAGTTTATTTTCAAATTCTTTTTCGAGTGTTGTCTTGATTTAGAAAACAATCTAATACAGAAAGTATATAATCTTGAATACGCGAATATAACTTTTTCAGACTACACAAAGCGATAGAGCAAATAATTCTCTACAAAACTAGACGTCTCCGAGTTCTGTAAGACTTTTTTTCGGTTGAGATATAACTACGTCATTGAAAGTCCTAAAGTGAACTTTTCGTTGAAAACTGACTTTAGAGACTTCTGTATGATTCGAATATGTCAGCCGAAAAAGTTTGTACAGAACTCGAAAACATCTCATTTTCTGATTAAAATAACTTTATTGAATATTTTTGATAGCCACTGTATATAATCATTTTGTACTAATATAATTAACAAAAAAAAGAAAGATTTTTTAATTTAAAAAGCGATCATTTTACGAATACAAATGTAACATTGTTTTTTTTTAAGTATTATTTTTCTTTCAATAAAATACTTATTTATAGTGCGAAGAATATAGAAAACGATTTTTTCGAAAATAAAAACATATGGAAAAGATACACGTAATTAAATGAATGAAGCTCTTGAGTCATATTACTCATCAAGTGTATCAAACTATTTGTTGAATAGCCAATACTTAGGAGTAAAGATTCTGAAACATCGGCATTTTTCGCTGATTTAAGGGTATTGTTGTCTTTTTAGCCATTTCTGGTTCTTGAAGATGTTACAATCGATCCATATGGAATTTTTACCATAGATAGAGTACCTAAAATAAGGAGACATGTTCTAGGAAAATAATTTTAAGCAAGGTTTTCGTAGTTCTTGTTCGGAAAAACTCTAATATTGCATACAACCATACTGGGTTGAAAACTTAGTTGAAGACACTTTAGACAATATCTCAAAGATGATCTGGTGTTCAGCGAGCCCAATGTGATCTTATGGAAAACGTTGTTAAACGTTTGTTTCCTCGAAGATATGTCACCTTATTTTAGGTACTCTATCTATGATAAAAATTTTATGCCGATGGATTGTAACATCTTCAAGAATCAGAAATGTTCGAAAAAAACGAAGGTAGGTACCCTTAAAATTGGTGTAAATTATTTGTCATTCGTGAAAAAAAATTATCGTCCAAGAAAGTATCGTTATTCGTTAATGATAGTAGAGAAAATTTCAGAAATTTGATTTGCTTTCTCTCTGGGTCTCATTTTTTTTTGAAAATATTGTTTGTGAATACAAAATAAATATCGAGATAGATATGGGATAAGGAGATAGATTCAGGGAAACAAGCTTACATACAAGAAAATAGTTACAAGCGTGGTAGTCTGAATAGGATTGGGTGGATTAGTATAGATTTAGTGGGATTGCATTCAGAAATTTGGAACTTTACTTAAAGTCTGTATGATACCATCTTTTTTAGTGTACTCTTTCACGTGTCCTTGACACGATTCATGACCATCCTGAAGCCTTTCAGAGATTCTTTCATAATTTCTTGAGACGTTTGGTAATTCCCACGAGTCTTTTTAGATAGCCTTTGGATAATCGATTTTAAAGTTATTTGAAAGCATTTAGAAGACCCATGTGCTCTTATGATGGGTTTATGATGATGCAACGTCTAGCAAACCTCTTAAGGATTTATGACTATTATAAACCCTTTCATAAATCTTTCACAATTGGTGTTTTATCATTCATTAACAACAATTGATCATATACTTATCTCAACATAGGTGATCTGGTGTGTAAGAAACTCGTCATCGGTAAAATTTAAATTGGATGTCAGATATTCACAGTCTGCTCGAATTGTTCGAGTTCTTTCTCCAGTATCTTTTATCGTCAAAGAACTAAATTTTCAACAATTCCAGGGCCATTCGAACGCTAACAGACGCGTATATCCAAGTTACTCAGTCTTACCCTTGAAATTCTTTTTCCATTACTAAAACACACAGAGCACTAAATACGCATACGTCTTCCTTGGTACTGATATTCTTGAAAATTTTACATCTACACTTTAACGAATTTCGTACGATTTGATTTTAGCACCTGGATCGATGATGTTTCATTTCTACAATTAATTGTCTTAGACTGGGTCCATATTATCGTTGTCAATTATGTTTGTAGGCACTGCTTGCTTGCGTTTAAATTAGCGTGTCATACACAGAAACAAAAGAATTCAGTTGTAGATTCACATTCACATTTTTCAGTGTTGTGTCAGCGGGAATAAGCAACGTCGTCGCATATGTCAACAAACCCAATAGTATCCTAAATCCATGTTTCTTACATCTTTGCTTTAAACCATTCCAAAAACTCCACTTGAACATTCGATCATCTTTTACTATCTCGTCTTCTTAGTGTAATTGCCTTATCGTTGTATGCTGCTTCCTAATGCCGTTAATTTTCACTTCTGATATTTTACACTCTTCCAAAATGATTCTAATTCAATCTCTTTAATCATATAGCATATACACATTCAGTTCTGTTGGGCAGGAGAAGTGTTCCATGAGAAGATATATCTTCTGACATGAGAATATTCTCTCTCTTTTTCTCCTTCTCTGACAGCATTGCATCCCGTCTATCAGCATTTTTTTCGCTTCGTTCTGTGATGTTTTCTTTCTCAAGATATAAGGAGCACATATTGGATTGAAATATAAGAAGGATCTAACAATTAATGAGATTTGTTTTGATTGTCTTTGAAAAGTTGGATGCTTGAAGTGTGAGGATAAATTACTAATACACCATTTATTACGAATGTATCTGATTGTATTAGGTTTTCTCTGAAGTTTTAGTGATTGGCCACTGATATGCTAAATATAGATCCACAGTCAGATTGTTTGATACTTGTGTCAACACCCATTATAAATCGTTGAATATCAATGTACAATTGTTTATTTGACAGAGAAACAAATAGGTGACATATAAGAAAACTCAAATTCCATTCAAAGTCAAGGATTCATAATAATTTTATTGTTATGAATACAATTGTGAATTATTTGGTGACTTATAAAATTTATTGAAACATTATATATTTTTGATATTTTCAATGATTAATCTCATTTCTTGGCATTCAAACAAAATGACATAGCCGAGATATATATTTTCGACAACGCTTGTGTCTCAAGAAAACCCCTCATAGTAATTTTATTATATTGATCGAGGATTGATCCCTCATTTTCATCAGTGAAAATAATACGGTGATGCGTTTGGATAGTGATGGATCTTTAGTTACAACTGACAGAGCAAACAATAACACTTTAAATTTAAGTAGTAATAACAACAATATCAGCATCGATAATACATCAGCTCTTCATGATGATGACATTGACATGCCTTTAGATGCTAGTGATTATGTGTTTAATGTTGTTGATAATGATGAATGACCCTAGTTCTTAGGTGTAGTTCGAAGAACGATGATATACAGCTAATGGTTCAAAGTACCACATGTTGAGATGTGGTATAAGGGAAGAGAATGTACATATAAAAAACGGGTTTGCTGCAGTTATAAGTCTTTTGATTCATTGACGGAAGTGTAAATCTTGTGTTAGAAAAGGTCAAAATAGTTTCTCACAGGAATTCTGAAAGTTTATATGTCGCACGGCTAATCGCAAGTTTCTTTTATCATTATTATTTTTTTCTATTTAGTCATCGTTTTCCTTAACTATCACTGTTTTTATATGCAATTCTATATAAATATGTACTCCGTCAGTCTAGGGTCAAGTGAATCAATCCTCGATGAGCGTTATTTGTCCTATCGAAGTCCGAAGACCAAAGAATGATCTATTGTTCTATTAGTTCTCACCTAATTCTCAAATTAGTCTACTAGAATGCCACTCGTTTGACTTGCAGATCTGAAAAGAAGAAAAACTTCAAATATCTCAATTCAGAACTCGATTCTCAGCCAAACGTCTAGGGATTCTCTTCCAATTTCCTTGCAACGCTGCCAGAGACCCATTGTGTTGTGTAATTGTTCGTAATAATCTAAAACGTATTTCTCGTATTGTTGTCTCAATTCTGTGAAAGTTGAGCTCAAAGCTCACTTATAAGTTATTTGGACATTACTGTACACACTTACTGATTCAATCAAGTGATTTATCCTGTTTTATGAACACTAGACCATCATGTATATAAACGAATTCATGTTGATAAGATTTGCTCTCATAATATTATTGTGATAGTATACATAACATAACACTATCATTTTATGTACCATGAGTTGTTTGATCCCGTAGATATCCTGTTTTAGAATACTTATTACGATCGATCCAAATATAGAACTCGTCATGTTTCTTGCCTACTTTATTATACAGTTGAGTACAGATGTTGTTATCTCCGTGTGAATAACTAATCTTGACATTAGGCTTCTGTGGTTTTGGATTAGTTAGACTGTCCACTGATTCTGACATCATATTAAGAAATAAGGCTTGCACACTTTATACATCTCATCGTTCTGACTTCGCAATTTCTTTTAGTAGGTCACTGATGTTACAGAGAACGCCTTAAGCCGCTTTTTATCTATTTTCAATATAACGCGGTATATATTATGTAGATGCTTGATCGGCTTGTTTAGTATTTGCAAACTTTTCGATTAACTTTTTTCAATTCTGCATTCGCTTGTAATTCCTCTTCGTATTGAGGTCGAAAAGACACATGCCAGAGAATGTTTATGAGAGTTGTGTACGTAGCGTCTTTCATTCGATTATCATCTTTAACAATAGAATGAAATTTTAAGAGCAGATCAAAAATGAATTTTACGGTTGATTCTTCTTTCCTTTCACTGAAATCGACTTGTACATGATGTAAAATATAGTCCAACTTACAGTCATGAAAAATCAATTCCACTGAGACAATCAATGTTTCTGAAATATGAAATGCACCAGCTCCGCATTCTTCTGATTGCGATGCACGAGCAACAATTTGTAATAATTCATCAAGAACATCGTTCATATGTTAACGGTCTTTTTTTATTTCTTCAAAAGTTGAAAAAAGAGCTGAAATCATGTGGCTGATAATGATTATCTTGTTATTTTTGTCGTTGTTAGTAGAAAATATATAATCTTAAAGCTATTTCATGAGAAAAAGAGTGTTAATAGAATTTATTCTGTGTATTCCGTCACCGTGACGACTAATGATGTGGATGGTGCTGATTAATGGATGTGTGGTGACTGCATTTTTGCCCGTTCGTCTGTCAAGACAAATTTAGTCCTAGTTGAAGTTGTGGTTGGAACATGAGTTTAGAATATTCTCGTTTAGCTGGGTTGTGTTATTCATTATATGTAAAAAAAAAGAAAAGAAGGACACAACGTTTGCATCTTTTTAAGTCAAAAATAACATTCACAGATGAAAGTGGAGAAGTTCGGCGACAAAGTCCTTCAATGAAAAGAGTGTACAAAAGTAAGTAATTCAATCCTGCTATCAAATAGAGGCACGGTATTTGAATTTTTAAACCACTCTCCTGACGAGTTGGCTCGGATTAACTTTTACATTTTCCCTAATACATGCAAAAAAATGGAATCTTTTATATTTGACGTAGAATAAATTGAAGGCTAGATAAAACCATATACTCTTTGATACTACAAAATGGAGCAATGTTTCCTATACAACTCCAATTATTAGTCTCCATCTTAACAATCGTAGACAGGGCCTACGGCCGGGTGTAGGTATCCGACGTGCGGTGTGAGTACGAATGAGATTTGACTGTGTTGGGTTTGCTATGGAATGTATGGTTGTGCTATTTCTTGTTTCCCGTTCACGCCCGCATACACATCCATTCCCACAGCGGCAGTCACACATTGATGCTACGCTTAGAAACGAAACGGACGCTGCAACTACAGCACTTCCGCTGTCTGTTGTTAGAGAAATGAGTCATTTATATCTGTTTTACCGATCATTTGGTTTTCGTTGTCTCCTTTAAAATATCCGCCTCGTTCCGGAGTCCTCTTCTTGAATCAAAATTTGCAATAGTTCATCCATTATTTGTAAATTTTATGATAAAGCATTTATTTTTCAACTGACGGGTAAGAAAAACATATCTTTCCCGCAACCTCATAGATATATTTCACTGCATCAAGCTTTTGTTCGAAAAAGAAAATTCAATGAGAAATTAAAACCAGAAGGGACGACAACTCTCGTGAGACAGAAAAGCAAAATTAAAACGAAGAGCAATGCATATTTTGAATGATTTGGATTACCAGATTAGTACATTGCCGAAAGAAAACAATTAAATTTTGTGTTAGTTCTTATATTATTGGTTGGATGATGCCACATGGATTTTTGCACAAGTTAGACGCACGAACGGCCGGTCGGACATTTCAGGCAGGAGGATTGTCCAGGAAGTCGATTGTACCAACCAACAGGACATTTGATACAAGCTCGAGACGAGGTTGAACGTACCTTTCGATTATAAGTTCCAGCTGGACATGGCTTTGAACCCGTAGCTCCTGGAGTGTCACAAAAATGACCGCGTATACAAGTGGTACATGAGGATGCTCCAGTGTTTTTATTGTACGAACCAACAGGACATTTGATACAAGCGTGAGATGAGGTTGAGTCTACCTTTGGATTATAAGTTCCCGCTGGACATGGCTTTGGACCGGTAGCTCCTTGAGTGTCACAAAAATGGCCACGCATACAAGTGGTACATGAGAATGCTCCAGTGTTTTTATTGTACGAACCTACAGGGCATTTAACACAAGCTTGAGAGGAGTTGGAGCCTCTATTTGGATTATAAGTACCGAGTGGACATGGTTTTGGATCAGTAGCACCAACGACGTCACAATAATAGCCCGATATACAAGTCCTACATGAGATTTGTCCAGTATATGGATTGTACCAACCAATAGGGCATTTAACACAAGCTTGAGAGGAGCTGGAACCTCTATTTGGATTTTGAGTACCGAGTGGACATGGTTTTGGATCAGTAGCGCCAACGACGTCACAATAATAGCCCGATATACAAGTCCTACATGAGATTTGTCCAGTATATGGATTGTACCAACCAACAGGACATTTAACACAAGCTCGAGAGGAGTTCGAACCTATGTTTGGATTATAAGTTCCGCCTGCACATGGCTTTGGATTATTAGCTCCAACAGTGTCACAATAACAACCCAAAATACAAGTCCTACATGAAATTTGTCCAGTATATGAATTGTATGAGCCCACAGGGCATTTAGTACAGCCTAGAGACGAGAGAGAACCTGGGTTTGGGTTATAAGTTCCGACTGGGCATGGTTTTGGATCAGTGACTCCGACACTGTTACAATAATATCCCGATATACAAGTCCTGCATGAGGATTGTCCAATATATGAATTGTACGAACCAACAGGACATTTAACACAACCTTGAGAAGAGATTGCACCTGTGTTTGGATTATAAGTTCCGATTGGACATGGTTTCGGATGAGTAGCTCCCACAGTATCGCAAAAATAGCCCCATATACAAGTGGTGCATGACGGTTGTCCAGTATATTGATTGTATGAACCAACATTGCATTTAAGACAAGCATGAGACGACATGGAACCTGTGCTTGGATTATATGTTCCGAGTGGGCACGGTTTAGGATGAATAGTTCCAACATTGTCACAAAAATGGCCCCATATACAAGGGGTGCATGAGAAACGTCCGATATATTGGTTGTACGAACCAACAGGACATTTAAGACAAGCTTGAGATGAGACGGAACGTGTGGTTGGATTATAAGTTCCGATTGGACATGGTTTTGGATCAGTAGCTCCCACAGTATCACAATAATAGCCCCATATACAAGTGGTGCATGAAATTCGTCCACTGTATTGATTGTACGAACCAACGGGGCATTTGGCACAAGCTTGAGGTGAGTTGGAACCTATGTTTGTATTATAGGTCCCGGGAGGACAGGACTGTTGTGCGCTCGTTTCGCGTGATGATGTGCAAAGAAATACAGTGATGATGTAAGGGAGTAATACAAATGTGTTCATTGTGTAGTTTTAATCTTGAATGCAAAATTCTGAAAGTGATCGTTCAACCAGGATACTACCTCTGAGGTTGGGGGAAGGAGGCGACTATAGTTAATGACGGGTACTGCCGAAGGAAAGAAATTATTGTTTGATTGATGTCATGAATTCAGAGTGGTTTCACATAGACAAAAGATTGAAGACTCACGTTCATTGAATCAAGATGAACTCGCTTGTTATCAGCGATGCGAGATATTTTGGATGGCGCACATTTCCCGCATTTCATGGCACATCTCATTCACGAAAGCCATTCATCTTTTGTGAGAGATGGGACGCATTTTATAATCTCTGTTTATGCTGTGTTACTGTACATCTCACTTGTGCTATCCGGCATAACTACGTTAGCGCTGATGAACATTCGAATCGAAGCTCAGTTTTTAGTTGTTTCTTTTTCTTTGCTTACTGTGCACAAGAATGCAAATAAAACGACAGCTCATACATTTATACCTGGTGGTGTCGGTTTTTGTCAAGAGAAAAAAGAAGTACTCGAATATTTGATGATTGGGTTGTGTCACTATCTGCGGAATCTGCAGTCGTATATAATCCTATTGACGAGAAACTTAATGGAGTGAAAGTACGCCTCTTTTGTTCTGTCAGGTCATTTAGAGTGTCTGGTGGTAGCGAGAACTCGAGGGGTAATTTGGTAATGGGTAACGAATCCGTTACGAGTTACTTGATGATGTGACGGTAACTTCCCTTTCCTAGTCAAAACTCAGTCAATGATAATCACTTCTACGAAAGTTTACTGAAGCATTTGTATTCTACACAGCATCATATCTAATTGTCAACGAGGTCTAACCTTTTCAAACGTTAAAAGTATCAAATTCTGAAGGGCTTTATTCTACGATGAAACTGATAAATCAGGTTGACTATGCTTGCTACAAACGCTCTATGAAGAGTGTAGCTTTACAGTAAACCCCCCCCCCTACAATAAAAGACTCTGGGTCTTCTATTACGTTGAAGTGTAAAAATTCTTTAGAGGGGTCTTCTATTATGAGTG